CTGCCTCCCTATCCTCCTGTACAATGACTTTGGCTCCTCGCCTACTGTGCTCTGGACACAGCCACCTGTGAAGTTCTTCCTGTGCACAAAAATACTAGTCTTCCCATACATCTTTCCCTGTTGAAAACTTCCCAGCCCCTCCTCTTCATCTGTGTGCTGATGCTTATATGTTGTTTTTTTGGCTTTCCCTGACCCCCATGTGAGGTTCACCTTTTCCTTTTTCTTTTCTTCCTTTCCTTTTCTTCCCTCCTCTCCTCCTCCTCCTCCTCCTCCTTCTTCTGTAGAGATTGGAAGTTGAAGTCAGGTCCTTGTTCTTGCTAGGCAGCGACTCTACCAACTGAGCCACAGTACCGTCATTTCTGTTTTTTTTTTTTTTTTTTTTTTTGGTTTTTGTGGTACTGGGGTTTGAACTCAGGGCCTACACCTTGAGTCACGCCACCGGCCCTTTTTTGTGATGGGCTTTTTTGAGATAGGATCTCATGAACTATTTGCCCGGGCTGTCTTCAAACCACAAGCCTCCTGATCTCTGCTTCCTGAGTAGCTAGGATTACAGCATGAGCCACTGGCACCTGGTTATTTTTGAGATAGGTTCTCACTTTGTTTCTGGGCTGACCTGGACCATGATCCCCCTATTTGTGCTTCCCAGCATAACAGAGATGACAGGCACATACCATTACACTCCAGTATTATTGAGATGGGTTCCATGAACATTTTGCCCAGGCTGACCTTGATCCTCCTGATCTTCAACTCTCAAGTAGTAGGATTACAGGCTTGAGCCACCACACCTGGCTAGTTCACCTCTTCTAAGCCCTGATAAAATGCTGCCCTGTTTCTTCATAGCAGTCATCACAAGTGAAATGAAACAATTTTCTGTATAACCATGCTTTGTCTGTCTCTGATATATAAGTTCCCTGAAGATAAGTATCATGTCTTGTATTCCCAATAATACACAGTGCTTAGCACGTATTTATTGAAATAATGACGAATGACCAGAGAGCATGATTTCTTTTAAGAAATACAGCTGAAACACCAAAAAGAACAGAACTTACTTCTCCTAAAGGTCTCCCCTAAATCTAGTATGATTTCATTGTGGTATCCTTAACTAATTAAATTTGCAAAGATTTTGCTTCCAAATAAGGTCACATTCTGAGGTTCCAGATGAGCATAAATGTGGGGGGGGCACTAGCCAACCCAATACAAATAGGAACTTTATTTCATTAATTCTTCTATCCCTAGAATTCAGAATAATATTGGGCATATCACTTATCCTCAACAAATATTTGTGAATACAAGACTGCACTAACAAATGAATTAAAAGAAGTGCAAGAAACATCAAAGTTGCTGAGAAATGTAGGTGCTTCCCCTTCCCCTCCCCCGTCTTCTTCTTTCTTTTCTCCTCCTCCTCCTTTTCCTTCTCTTTCTTCTTCTGTAGAGACTGGAAGTTGAAGTCAGGTCCTTGTGCTTGCTAGGCAGGGACTCTAACATCTTCCCCATCTAGATAGCATGATTCTATCTTTCAAAAAATTTATTCCTTTAGTGAAGATTAAAGATTAATATATTGGGTCTAACATTGCAAATTACTGAGTTGAAATGAGTACACACAGAACTCCAGAGCCAGAAAAGTCATGGAACCTGCCCAAGTTTGCAGGGGAGAAACTAGCTCCACTCAGGAGGATTAAAGAGACTGCAAAGGACAAAAATAAAGTGGCTTCTACCATTATACCCCATGAGTCCTATGTGTTCCAAACCCTAGTCATAGTGGTTTTAGGTGGTCAGTTGTTCAATCCCATCTAGATAGAGAAGGGTCCTCTGGGTCTCCTTAGCTCCTTGTTGACAGACAGTGAATGAAAAATCTGTGAAACTCATGTCTGTCTCGCAATTACTACTGTGGAAGAGAAAATAAATTTATTCACATTTTATTTATTTTAAAAAAATTTTTTATTAGGATATATTCATTATACAGGGGGGATTCATAGTGACAATTCTGACTAGACTTATATTGTACATTAGTTACATCGCCCCCATCGTCTTTCCAATTCACATTTGAAAAAGATGTGTGTACTCTAATAAATTCTAAGACTCACCTTTTTCATAATTTAAAGACTGAAATGAGGTGGGCTTTACATTTAATATATTTAGAAAGCATAGTTTAATCAGCACTGTTTTATTTTTCAGTGGTACATAAAATGGTATCTTGAAATTTATGCTTACATTTTATTAAATACAGAATATAAATCATGTTTTTATGTTTCTCATTCTTCTCTAGTAAAAAGTCTAGTACATCATTCTTTTACAGTTGATTATTTTTGGCCACATTAAGCTTAATTATAAATGAAGCGCAATGAGACTGATCAAAACCTTCTTATTTCCAAGTTGCAGATTTCATTATATGCATGGAAATGTTCCATAAACTGCAAAGCCTGAGCCACATGTCAAATTATGTTTTTTAAAAATATATTTAATAACTACTAGCTAATAGAAATAACCTACACTTTACAAGATAATCGAATCTCTCCAAGAGTGGACATCTCTATTTGCTCAAGTCCCGGCGTCACCCACCCCAGAGCCTGACCCTCTACACTTTCGCTGGTACAGGTACCATACCCATACAGAGGGCCACTTCTGAGCATGCGCGGAACGGCACGCAGACGCAGGCGCGCAGGCGCGGTACGCGGTGACCGCGGCTCGTGCTGTAGCGCCGGGTCGCGCAGCGCCGGCTGAGTAGCTATCGTCCGGCATGAAGGGCTGGGACCTGGATACTTCCGTCTCCTCGCTTCAGCGCCATGGAATGCCTGCGGAGCCTGACTGGGCTCCTGCCCCGCGCGGTGGGACTACCCCGGAGGACCCTGTGTGCCCTGGCCTGGGGCCTGACCCCTGCGCCTCGTCCCGCTGCCTGTCGCGGCTGCGCGTCCAACCTGCTGCGAAGGAGCCGGGCCGCGCCGCTATGCGGGCCCCGCCAGCCCGGCATGGCAGGTACTGCCCTCGCTCCCCGCCCGCAGCCCCGGGTCGTCAGCAGTGCAGTGACCTTAGGTGCCCCTCGGACCGCGCGCGCCGCTGTGCCTGCCGTGGTTCCGCGCAGGCCTCGGCCTCCCGGTGCGTCCTTGGGCGCCCGGTGCCGGGACAACATGCATAGGTCGCCCGCCCAGAGCGGAACTGCCCCGTGCCCGGCTAGCGCCCACCCTCCTAGCCTCCTGCTTTCTCCCCAGCTGCCTCTTGCTGCAAATCTTGTGACCTTAATAAGAACAGTGTACGGTATTCACAGGGTGCCTTGGTTATCACCCAGCCTAAGCGCCTTCATGAGAGGTTTTTTTAAAACGAGAGTTTCGTCCTTATGCACCATGATAGTTGTGAAGTCAGATTGGAATGGCCTTATTAGTTGTTAACTTCTTGACCTGTCTTCTGTTTCTCTTATGGGCACACTATGGACACACTTGTACAGCTGCGCAGGTAGAGAGGGTGGGACGTATCTAGAAGTGAGGCTGAAGAATTCAAGGCCACATGGTGAATTTAAATTGCCCATGAAAATGGCTTACAACTCCAGAAGACCGGAGTGAAAAAAGAGGAATCTTTTATTTAGCAGTTTTCTTCACCAACTGATGAAACATGGTGATAAGATTTTCACACATGTGAGTGCAAATATTGCTCAGAAACAAAGTTCAGGAAATGTATGACTTTCTCGGAGATAGTATTTTAAAATACTTTCAGTTGTACTCAAAAGTCACCCGAAGTTAACACCACCAGTCTCCACCTTCCCCACACTCAGAGTCTTTCTGAATTGACTTACGTCCCTTACTCCCTCCTTAGAATTATAATGCTTAGGATCCCAGTTTCTGCAAACTGGGTGAAACTTTTAAGATAAGCGTTAAAATTCAGAATAATAATCTTGGTGACACTTTAATTTGTGACTAGCAAATTGCCAACTTTTATCATTGCCATTTCATTTTCTTCAACTGACCTAACAATATTGTAAAAGGCAAACAAGATCTTAGGTATTAGCAAATTGCATGAATCATTACATGTAAACAGTAGGAAAGAATAAGAACAGAAATGATCCAGAATCTCTGGAGCCAGCAGATTACTTTGGTAACATAAAATAATTGGTGACATTGTTAAACCTGCCATTCTTCATGATTTTGAAGTGTCCTTTCTCAGTCATTAAATTTACTTGATTTTACTTCAGAGCCCACTTCAACTCAACCTAATCATCTGTTTTAAATAGACTTTATTTTCAGCTAAACTCTTCATTCCATTTTGGTAGCATTTCTCAGAAATAGTCACCATAAAACATAAAGCTAATATGTAGAAAATAAGTAAAATCTGTAGGTTTCATAATTTATAAGTCAGTCAGATAATCTTGATAATGGAATGCTGAAAGATCAAGTTTTCTAAAATCTACCAATAAAATTTGCATGGAGTCTTCTTAAATTATGCCAAAAAAATCACATTTTCTTTAAATCTAATAGCACATTTGTTCATTTAGTTCTAAAAAATAAATAACTAGAAAGAGGAGAGAATGGTTAGAATCCAAAAAAGTTTTCTAATGCCTTATATAATAAGCCAGTACTTAAAAAAAAAAAATCATTCCTGCCAAATTCAATATAATCACCTACAAATATTAAAATTAACAAATAAGAGTGTTTCTTTTTCCTGTAGGAAAAAGGTTCAAAAAATAATAAAGTAGTCTGAATGCCTCCCATTACTATGCAAGTTGTATTTTAGCTCTATGTGAAAATTGTATGATCACAGGAAATCCTGTACTCTTTCTTCAGGTGAAGCACACCGGTTTAGAACATCTGATGTCTCTCAAGCCACTTTAGCCAGTGTAGCCCAGGTGTTTACTGTGGTGAGTATATAGTACATCTGATAACTTATGTAAAGTACATACTTAGTAAGTCAAGAGGGTTAGACCAAGCTATTAGTTTTTGTTTTGTAGTGAATTGTACTTACAAGTTCTGTTGTCTGTGCTTAGCCAGTGACCAGAATGCCTGCTAAATTTGCTTAACTGTGCTCTTGAAACTTTGCTAATGGCTGTGTAGCAATTTTAGTATTAGAACAGGTGATTCAAATTGCAGTTCAATGCTTCTTTCTTAAACACTCAAGATTTCCCATGAATCTATTCATTAAAAGCAATTACCTTAAAAGAACCTGAATCTGTACTTTGCAAAATACTATGCATGTACATCTTGAAGGAAGTACAGTATAGTACTTAAGAGTACATGCTTTGAAGGTTTCATGATCTCTACAAGTTTCTCTGAAGTGGTTGGGAGGGGAATAAATGAAAATAAAATAACAGATCTTTGTGTGTGTGTGTGTGTATGTGTGTGTGTGTGTGTTTAAGGAGAAAGCTCTTGAGGGCAAAATGTTAACAAAGGGTGACCCATGTAAGTTATGTAGGAATTGGTTATATAAGTTTTTAGTTTTTCCAGAAGTTTAATTTAAAAAATAAGTACTTGATCCAAGCCAGACTTCTAAATTTAAATCAAAGCTCTATCTCTTACTACTAACTTTGGACTTCAACAAGTTATGATAACATCTTTGTACTTAGTTTTCTGACCTGTAAACTAGTAATAAGCCTACCTTATATAATTTTTGTGAGTATTTAAGTAATTTATATATAGTACCTCTGATATAATAAACATCCAGAGAATATGGATTATTCATGCTTAATAACATAAGAAAGTTTCTTTATAAACCATAGAATAAGATAACTTCCACAGCTGTATTTAAAATTCATAATTTTTATTCACTGTTCTGGAAAAGTTGGTCAGCTTAAGCAAGAACACAAAAGTATGCCAGGTACAGTGGTACATACCTGAAGTCCCAGCTACTCAGGAGGCTAAAGCAGGAGGATTATGAGTTTGAGGCCAGTCTGGGCAACATGGCAAGATTCTGCCTCAAAAAGTAAATAAACAAAATGATATATATTGAGAGGAAATTCTTTGCAGGCAAAATAATAATAATCAACTGATTCTATTTGAAATAAATGAGTTTAGAAAGCGAACTAGTTACAAAGTGAACATTTAAAAAAATCAATTTGTATGATCTTTTAAAAGTATCCATTGATGAAAAAATGATGCATAAATATGGATATGGAAAAATATTTAGTATGTATTGTTGGAAATAAGGAAGGGTGCAAAGAAGTATGTGTGACATGAATATGTTAAATTGGAAAAAACCGGAAGAACATTCAGTAAAGTATTAATCTGGTTTTCTCTAAAATTTGTCATGTTATTTAAATAGTTTCACTTCACAAATTTTTCTTCTCATTTTCTGCAGTGGATATATGTTCATGAAATAAACCCAAGGAGGGAAGCTAGTCTATATTACACAAGTATAAAGCTTCTCTTGACAAAACTGTCCCTTTAACATTGATGTTCTATGTTATGCTTATGCTCATATTGATCTTACTTAGCTCATGAAAAACAAGCTAAAAATGTAATTGTGGTTTTTTATTGTGTTCTTACTAACATGGCATGCATATGTTTCCAAAGCAATAACCCAAGAGCTGTATTTTTACCTACAACTATATCTTACAATATGTTTTTTTCTGAAAAAAAAATGTGTATTTTATAGTAAATAGTATAGCTCAGCACATAGATTTTTTAAATATTATTTGACAACTTCAAACTTGACTGTGGATAAGTGTTACAGAAAAATATACCTCTACTTTACAGGAAATGGGTATAATTTGTGCATCATGTTCTCTCTTCAAGCTATCAGAATAGTCCTTTTCTGTAAATCTTTATTGGTTCTGCAGTGCCTAACAGGGAGACTTTTTAGCCTTAAGAAGAGGAGGCTTCTGGCAGGAGCCACTTTGACTCTAAGGAGTCAATTTAAGGACTATTTAGATTCATGAGACAGGCCACACTTGTTCCCAGACTACTGAGAAAGATAAAGATAAGAAACATATCAAGGTAGCATCAAGAGTTTCTTCTTCAAAAGAAGTCATCCTTGCAGCCATTTGGGAGCTCTCTGGCCTGCTAAGTGAAAACTCAGTGACCAGGAGATGAGCTTCTCAAAGGAAGGTGTGAGATCCACCTTGCCTTTGAATCTCCTTGCCCCTCAGTGCCAGTATTCTTTATAACCATCCCAGAGATGCAACTTCCAGGGCCCCCACAAGGAACATGGCCAGACGTAAGAGCGACTACTCTCGGGGAAGAGTAGAGCTGTGCTTCCCTCCTGGTGTCTGTAATTCCTTCATAGTCTTCTTAGTCTAATGCAGACTGCCAGTCATTGGCCATTGTTACCATAAGATGTACAACTGATACTCCTTTACCACATTTCTAGAGGAAACAAGATAGAAAGTTAACTCAAGGTAAGATTGAGCCTAGGAAGGTAAAAGGGATTTTACTTGTAACTCGTCCAACTGTATTTAACATAGAGGTTATTTATGGTTTATAACTGCATTTCAATATATTTAGGATATTACTCAATACCATAAATACTAATTTGAGTGAAGATATTTTGTTTTTATGATTTATCTTCAGACAAAATTTGACAAAGAGGGAAATGTTACTTCTTTTGGTAAGTATCTTTATTTTCTTCTAAATCATTTTAAATCAGTCATTGAATGAATCTGATGGAAGTTTTGAGTAGCATACTCTTTGTGTATATAGTTATGTTGAAGGAGGTCTTTGCTCAGCATTTATCCATCAGTTCTAATTAGAACTGGCAATACCTGGACTGTTCATATTTGCCCAGAATTATTTTCTTCCGGCAGGAGCCCTTTTGACTCTAAGGAGTCAATTTAAGGAATATTTTGGAGATTAGAGCTGGAGCATAAAACACTGTTTTCCATTTGGCTCTGTCCTGTCCTTCTTCCTTACATTTTCCACCCCCTCATTCATTCTGAAACATGTTTAAAGTAGAATTACATAATGCCACCGACATTACAGTGCATGAGAAAGGTAGGGACTAGGAACCGATGGCAGTCACATGTAACTGCCACTGATTATCCTCTATAGACAGCTACTTTTTTTAAATGAAACTTAACTAGGAAGCCCTGCTGTATAACTTCAGATTCCAGTTTTCCATATCTTCCCATCACTTTCAGAAGCCACATGATCCTATTTCTGCCACTGCTGAGATCCTAGTGTATTTTTTTTTTTTTTGCACAGTATCTTCTTCTTCAAAGATTGTTTACAGCCTTTTCATAGGTGTGGTTTGACACTACAAGTACAGATCCTCCTATAATCAGTGTATCTAGAATTTCTCTCATCTGCTTTGTTTTCTTAGGTAATAACTTTAGTTCTCAGGTTGGAGAATCTGGTGTGAGAATAAATACAAAATTTTCTCATTTTGTATTTATCTAAGAACAAAGAAAATTAAACTCATTCATTCACAAATTTACAATACTGAAGATGATGTAATGAGAAAAAAATGGAAAGTAAAGTTGTATAAAATTCGTATTCAAGAAAGATCACCCATGTCAAGAGTTAGGAATTGCTACTAATGGTGCATGGCTGTGATTTTCATGTCAGTTCAAAGAGGCTTCTAAATACAGAAAAATGTTAAAGTATAGAAAAGAAAGAAAGCAATAATTAGTTAGCCTGAGTATATGTTTTGAAGTACAAAAAAAAAAGGGTATTAAGACTCATTTTAATTTCTGTTTCTGGTAGTAATAGAAAATTATCCTGGTGGTGCTAGGGGAGATGTTCTTGCATAAAAATCTAAACTCAATTTATTAGCTTAGATCACTCTTTATTTCTTTTTTATAGAAAGGAAGAAAACTGAATTATACCAAGAGTTAGGTCTTCAAGCCAGAGATTTGAGGTTTCAGCATGTGATGAGCATCACAACCAGAAACAACAGGATTATCATGAGGATGGAGGTGAAGGATTTTATCTTCATCTACACTTCTGCACTTCAGTCTTACCAAAGTACTTTCTAGCCAACTTGAAATGTTAATGTCTAAATTTAAAGTAATTTTGGAGTAAAAATGGGCTATTTTGTAATTTAATATGAACAGACCTCATAATAATTTAATATTACGTAATAATATGGTAAAAATAAGTAGAACTTAATTTACATGGATTATATTCATGTGCTCACAGGCATAACTTTGCTGCATTTTATGTTGGAAAAATTCTGATAATGGTCATTCTCATTGCTTGAATTTAGTCTCTGGTTTCTGACATTATTAGAATCTTAATTATGTATCCAGTTATGTGTAATTATAGTATAACCTTAGCTACCAATAACATATTCTCATTTCCCAGATAGCTCAGGAATACTTGTTAAATTTTGAAACCTTAATTAAGCTTTGTAAAATCCGTTGTATCTTCCATCACTTAATTAGAGCACACTAAATATATTGACTTTCCTTAGTGATTAACATGACATCAGTTATTTTGGTATGTGAAAGTTTAGGGTTCTAACATAAATGAGGAGACATATGTCATAGTGGGACTGGCCCTATCGTAAGCATGTACTTGCTTACCTCAAAATGTCTGATAAAATTCCAGTGACATTCTGTACAGAAATAGAAAAATCAATCTTGAAACACATACAGAAACACAAAAGACCTTGAATAGCCAAAGCAGTTCTGAGCAAAAAAGCCCAATGCTAGAGGCATCACAATACTTGACTTTAAACTGTACTACAGAGCATAACTAAAAACAACATGGCATTGGCACAAAAACAGACAGGAAGACCAATGGATCAGAATAGAAGACCCAGACATAAATCACACATCTACAGCCAACTGATCTTCAGCAAAGGAGCCTAAAACATCCAATGGAGAAAAGACATCCTCTTTAATAAATGTTGCTGGGAAAACTGGAAAATCATATGTAGAAGACTGAAACTAGATTCCTGTACCAAAATTAACTCAAAGTGGATCAAAGACCTTAATGTAAGGCCTGAAACTCTGAAACAACTCCAGGAAGTAGTAGGAAATACATTGGAACATACAGTTTTAGGAAAGGACTTCCTAAGTACAACTCAAAAGGCTCAGCATCTATGAGAAAGAATGAACAGATGGGACTGCATCAAACTAAAGAGCTTCTGCACAGCAAAGGAAACCATCACTGGACTTTAGAGATAGCCCACATAATCTTTGCCAGCTACTCATCTGATAAGGGACTAATACCCAGAATCTACAGGGAACTCAAAAAACTCTACCACCAAAGAATCAACCTTCCAATGAAGAAATGAGCACATGAATTAAACAGAGAATTCTCAAAGTAAGAGGCATACATGGCCAGTAAATATATGAAGTGTTCAACTTCCCTGGTATAAAGGAGATGCAGATCAAAACATAACTTAGATTCCATCTCACCCCAGTTAGAATGGCCATAATTCAAGAGCAATAACGACAACAAATGCTAGTGAGGATGCAGTGAAACAGGAACCCTTATACACTGTTGGTGGGAATGCAGATTAGTACAACTACTATGGAAAGCAGTATGGAGATTCTTCCAGAAGCTAAAGATAGAACTGCCATATGATCCAATGATACCACTCCTGGGCATCTACCCAAATGAACATAAGTCAGGGTATAATAGAGACACCTGTACACTGATGTTCATCGCAGTACTGCTCATAATAGCCAAGCTTTGGAAACAACCCAGGTGCCCTATAGCTGATAAATGGATCAAGAAAATGTGGTATGTATTCACAATGGAGTTTTACTCAGTCATAAGGAATAGTGACGTGGCTTGAAGGTGAATGGATGCAATTGAAGGACATCGTGTTAAGTAAGCCAGGCTCAGGCTTGTTTTCTCTCATACTTGGAAGATAGATCCAAAAGATAAATATACACACAAAAATAAGCATGATCATATACATACTCAGTAGAACATGTTTGTAATAGTGGAACTACTCTATGGAACTGAGGGAAAGAGGGAAAGAAAAAGAGGATGATAGAGCATCAGTAATATTAGAAAACATAAAATCTGTGAAGGTAGAAGAGGATGTAAGGATGTGTATTGAAAGCTGTTGAAAAATGGGGGGGTGGGAAGTAAAGGGATTGGAAGGGGTTAAACAGACCAAAGTCAAGAATACCCACACAAGCGAGGGGTGAGGATAGGTAAGACACCTAAAAAATTAGCTAGCATTTGTTGCCCTTAACGCAGAGAAACTAAAGCAGATACCTTAAAAGCAACTGAGCCAATAGGAAAAGGGGACCAGGAACTAGAGAAAAGGTTAGATCAAAAAGAATTATCCTAGAAGGTAACACACATGCACAGGAAATCAATGTGAGTCAACTCCCTGTATAGCTATCCTTATCTCAACCAGCAAAAACCCTTGTTCCTTCCTATTATTGCTTATACTCTCTCTACAGCAAAATTAGAAATAAGGGCAAAATAGTTCCTGCTGGGTATTGAGAGGGTGGGGGGGAGAGAGAGGGGGTGGAGTGGGTGGTAAGGGAGGGGGTGGGGGCAGGGGGGAGAAATGACCCAAGCCTTGTATGCACATATGAATAATAAAAAAAAAAAAAAGAAAACTGCAGAGATCCAATTAAAAAAAAAAATACCCATAGTGGGCATACATTGAGAAACCCTCCTGAATATAACTTAAGTATTAATAACAGAAGACAGGACTATAAAATAGATACAGTGTGTGGGGTTGTACTTGTGGGAAGGAAGAGGGTGAATGAAGGAGATCAAGGTGACAGTATATGGTTGATGAACTTCATGAAATAGAATGAAGAAACCTCTTGCAATTGCTTTAAGTGGGGTGGGGCGGGAATTGAAGGGGAAAGACAATGGGGGCCATGTAACTAATGTAGGATAGAAGTCTAATGGGAATTGTCACTATGAATCCCCCTGTATAATGAACATATCCTAATAAAAATAAATAAATGGAAAGTATATACAAAAGGGAAAAAAGTCTTAGCAGATTTTTGTCCACTTATCTAGAATTAAAATAACCATAATGGAATCTCAAAGTGACTTTTCTCCAGAAAAGTCTTCACTCTGTTATCAACAGCTATCATCTTTCAAAATATCATTTTGAAAGAGAGATAGACATGTATGTGATAAAGCATATTTAATAGAATGTTAATTGTATCATCTAAATGGTGTTTACTTTTTGTAAAAAATATTTGCATAATTAAATGTTGGAACAAATATAAAAAGAAAATTATTTCTAATTTCTGTCACAAATAACAGTATTCACAAAGGACCACCACTTTTTTTTTTTTTTTAAGATAAAAGATGTCAGTGTCTGGGGGCTGAGAGTGTGGCTCAAGTGGTAGAATGCCTGCCTAGCAAGCATGAGGCCCTGAGCACAAGTCCCACTGCTGCCAAAAGATGTCAGTCTCTGATTAGAAAAATTTCTAATTTCATGCTAGAGCACAAGTATGAACTAGCTTAATAAATTGGTGGTATTTTTTAAAAGAATCTTTTCCATTTGAGCTAAGTCTTTTCTAAAAGTCCACCAAACACCTGGCTTTAATAAAAAACTTATGTTTCCTTATATTTTACATGACTACCCTAGAAGTCTTAAGAAGTATATAATTTGTGTGAGAAATTCCATTTGAGTTAGAAATTCCATGTGAGTTGGAAGTATCAAAACTTAACATATATTTTAGGTTTTTTCCCCTTAAAAAGTGATTTTTTTAAGAAAAATATTGATTTGGTTTAGTTTTAATCCAAAATTAGGAAAATTACATGAATTTTATTTTTCCTGTAGTTCTCTAACTTGTACACATAGGAGTGTGTGTATGTAAATGATGTGTGAATGTATATGTATAAGCTTGGGGTTTTTTTGTTGTTCTTTTGTTCTTGCAGTATTTGAAAGCTGTTGTAACTCCAGAGTGTCTTCTGATACTAGATTACCGTAATTTAAACCTAGAGCAGTGGCTGTTTCGAGAACTCCCATCACAGTTGGCTGGAGAGGGTCAACTTGTCACATACACTTTACCCTTTGAGTTCAGAGCCATAGAAGCACTCCTGCAATATTGGGTAAGCCTGTATTTGTTCAGTTTGTGTTTCAAATGCTATTTGATAAGTTGGTATTATTTCAGTGGCACTTTTCCCAATCATACCCTATTCCCACACAAACATTTGTAAGGATCCTGAATGGAGAAAGTACTTAATTCATAAATTTATGACCCAAGAAGATACAACTAAAGACTATGTATAGTATAGAATATAACATTTAATGAAGTACATTTCAAGTTGGCCACCCTTTATACAATTTTAATAACCATACTGTGAGATGATAATTCAGAATACTTAAATTAAGGCATAAACATGATACAAGTTTAAGATGTAAGTCAAATTTTAAATGCATTCCACTTTTTCTCTAAATTAAACTGTGTGTCATGTGCTTACATATATAAATGTATCTTTCATCAAATAATGTTTTGATTTATTGTATGATCCTTTGTTTGAAGTAGCTAAATGACACTTCTCTTTGACACCTATCCTGATCAAAGAACCACACAGAATTTTTCTAATGACCCCCATTAAATTGATAGTGATAGATGTTCGGAGCCCCAAAAAGGTGGTTGACTGCTTTTCTGGCCTCCACCAATCTTTCATTATCCCTTCTGCTCCTGATTAGTCAGAACAGTACCATTCAGTAGGTGGCTGCAAGCAAGAGTTGGCACTGACAGCTTACTAACCAGAATGGGAGATAGGGAAGAGGGTAAAACAGACATGAGATGGGCAGGGATTGAGTGAACCTGGTACCCTTCTCTTTTGTCTGCTTTGCTCTAATGAGGGAATAGGTGGCTGCACTACCTGTTGGGGTTAAAGAAGCAACAGTAGCCGCTGCAACAGTGGTAAGACAAGCTGCACAGGTGGATAGGTGCTTAATGCTGTAGTGCATTCAGGAGCTCATGCAGTGGTGATAAATGCAGGCCTCTCCAGCTCTTGGAGATCAGCCATGGGGAGAATGGAGAAAGAGCTCAATTGTCTACTGGGATATGCATTCTTCTTGGTATTAAGTGAGGTTCCGGAAGATGTCTTTCTGAAAGAATACTACACAGTAAGTGCTGCCAGCCGTTTCCCACAAGGAAAGCTCCCCAAACTCACCTGGTGACTGTGACATACCGGTAACACATAGGCTTCTGAAACACCTATGACCCTCAGCAGTCTCCCCAACCACTTCCTGAATCCAGACTTGACCTCACTGGACAGAGGATTTGGTATCTCTTTTGGATACTTGAACATTAGCTCAGCTTCATTTTGGCTGTCCAGCCCTCTTTCCCACCCAAGGTCTTCTGACTTTAAAAGCAGCTCCCTAATACACAAAATAAGCAAATTGTCTGCAGCAGGCACTCCAGACTCAATTTCCAAGTCAGAAAACTAATTGTGCTTCTGAGATAAACAGTATATGCTGAAATTTACATCATTAATTTTACTGCTTAATTCAGTTTGTATTATGCTGTTTGCAAGCTGGTTTAGAGATACTTTAATCTTTTCACAAGTAGTATAGCTATATCAATGCACTCCTGCTGAGTATCAACCATGCCTAAGAAAAGCATGTTTTTGACTTAACACAGATTTGTTGTATTTTTTTTAAAATCCAAGTGAAGTTTTAGTTTTGAAAAGAGCATGAGCATAGGAATTTTGAACTGTATTGTGTTTACGAGAACATGGTATTATTTACCAAATGCACAGTTTGTGTTTTAACCATGGAATGGCAGATTTTATTTTAATAAGTCAATCTCTCATTCCATTCATAATTGTCTGTAGGGCAAAGACTTCTGACAGTTAATTCCCTGTCAGCCAAATCTGAGTGTAATGACAACATTGAGCATAGTCTTTTTAACCCAGGAAGAATAGTTTTTGAATCATCCATAAATAGTTTGCAGCATTGACCATGTTCTGAAGTATTACTAGTATTTTTAGCTATCACAAATTTCTGTGTTTAATCAGAGGATTCACTGCTAAGTATTCTAAAAAGGTTGTTTTAATTCTTATGAAAGGTCATGTTGTTATCTAGATCAACACCCTTCAGGGGAAACTTAGCGTTTTGCAGCCACTCATCCTTGAGACATTGGAAGCTTTAGTGGATCCCAAGCATTCTTCAGTAGACAGAAGCAAACTGCACATCTTATTACAAAATGGCAAAAGGTAAATATGGGTGGTTTACCAGGTTGGGAGTTAGAGGCAAATTTCTTAAATTCTTTTCTCAGTAATTTTAATTTAACTAATCATTAAATTTATGCTCAGTAATTTAGCATAAATTCACATATAAAATTAGTGAAATTCTTACTTTAGAAAAATACCAACTAGTCTTATTAACGACAATGACTATTTTACCCTTTACTCACAGAGAGTGAGAAAGTAAATCAGCAATGAAAACGTTGCTAATTTGGTTTGAATTATTAAAATTGTGTTTCACGACTTTTTTTTTTTTTTTTTTTTCTTTTTGGCAGTACTGGACTCAGGGTCTGTTCTCACTAGGCAGGCACTCTAACACTTGAACCACATCCCTATCCCTTTTTGCATTGATTATTTTTGAGATAGGGTCTTTATGCCCAGGCCAGACTGGACCATGATCCTCCTACTTGTGCTTCCCTGTGTAACTGGAATGGCAGACAGGACAGGCACGCACCTATACACCCAGCCAGTGACTGAGATGGGATTTCATGAGCTTTTTGCCTGGGCTGGCCTCAAAACCTTGGTCCTCCCAATCTCTGCCTCCCAAGTAGCTAGGATTACAGACTTGAGCCACTGGCCCTGGCCTAGCAACGTTTTTAAAAATAGGAAAGTAGCATTGGTGGGAAGTTGAGCTAAAAGGAGCACACAACTTAACACTTATGGAAAAGATTTTGCATGAAGCAGTATGTTCATCTGTGGTCTCATCTCCTCCACTGGCAACCCCATTCAGTAGGTGATGTCTTCATTTTGAAGATGAGAACATTGAGTAACTTATCTTCTTAAGAATCTTATCTAAACTGATACAGCTAGTAAATAACAGATCCAAATTCAAATCCCTTTCCCTCTCCCTCTAAGGTCCATGGTTTTATTGTTGTTCATAATACATTATAGGATTTTAGAACAGTATTTTAATTTATCTAATAAATTAAATATACTCTCAGATAATATACTTCCAAAAAATTTCTTCAAGAATTAATAGTTATGACTGTGTGGTGGTACACACCTGTAATCCCAACTACTCAGGAGGCAGAGATAGAGAAGATCATGGTTCAAGGCCTGCCTGTGCAAAAAGTTAGCAAGATCCCGTCTCAACCAACAAGTCGAGCATGGTGGCATGAGCCTATCACCCCAGCTATGCGGAGGCATAGGTAGGAGTAGGAAGATTGATGTCCAAGGGCAGCTCCAGGCGAAAAGCATGAGACCCTATCTGAAAAACAATCTAAAGCACAAAGGGCCAAAGGTATAGCTGAAGTGGTAGAGTAAGGCCCTGAGTTCAAACCTTAATATGACCCATCCTCCAGAAAAGAACACTTGAAGGATAGATATGTAGCAGAGCGCTTGCCTAGCATTCATGAAGCCCTGGATTTGATACCTGGCACCGCAGAACAAAAGAATTAACAGTTAAAGTTTCTAAACCAGTAAGGGTTATTTTTGTCAAAAAATGTTTGGGTGTTTTTATCAGTTAAGAATAAATAATCTTGGCTGGGAACGTAGCTCAGTGCTTCAGTGTTTGCCTAGCATGTGTGAGGCTCTGGGTTCAATCCCCAGTATTAAAAAAAGAGAAAGAATAAATAATGTGTAAACCAAGCATAGTGATACATATCTATAATCCTAGCTAATCCCAACTACTTGGGAGGTAGAGGCAGGAGGATTTCAAGTTCAAAGCCAGCTGGTATAATGTTAGTGAGATCCTATCTTAAAAACAAATACAAACATAAGGGCTGGTAGTATGTTTCAAGTGGTTCAACGCTTGTCTAGCATGCTTAAGGCCCTGGTTTCAATCCCCAGTATACTGCAAAACCTGAATAATCGGGAGGTGAAGGTGTAGCTCAGTGGTAGAACACTTGTCTACCATGCACAAGGCCCTAGATTTGATCCCAAGCACCACAAAAGAAACAAAACATAAATGGTGTATCTTTATTGTCTTGGCATATCAATTAATAAAAATTAATTCCCAACCCAAAAGTGACTGTATGTTTCAGAGATAAATTATATATGTTAAATATGATAAATTATATGTTATAATGTTTCTATATCATTAATTTTACCAGTTAATTTAATTTTGGTTTTGGAATTTATTCTTAATTTGTATAATTATTAAAATGTTTTTTGCCTAGTCTGTGTTTACCATGAGTGATGAATGGATCTATTTGATAAGACATCCTAAAAAGGCACTATTCTTATACTGAAATGGGTTACTAGTTCATGCTATTGATTATTTCTGTCTAACTATTCTTACAGTCTATCAGAGTTAGAAACAGATATTAAAATTTTCAAGGAGTCAATTCTGGAGATCTTGGATGAGGAGGAGTTGCTAGAAGAGCTCTGTCTGACCAAGTGGAGTGACCCTCTCGTCTTGTAAGCATAGCCCTGTTCTGTTATTTATTTCCTCAGGAAACTTCTATCTTTTTTTTCTCCAAGGTAATTTTTATAGAGAATGTGACACTTTTCAAGAATAGATAAGTAGGCATTTTTCATCCTCCATAACTTTTTTCCTAGTATCTGATTCAGTTTAATGAGGATATACTGAGTATACACTGATTCTCAACAGTGCCGGACTGAGATAAATACAAAGGTAAACACACAATTACCTTCGTCTTCAAGGATAGACCACCAAATTGGCATACACATCTGTTGAAATAACTTATCTAAGGAATGGGTGGAAGAGGGGAGAGAAATTCACATGGGGAGGGAAAGGGAGATGAATAAGACATCAGCATAAATTCTGTAAATTTGGGGAGAGGTTTTTTTTTTTTTTTGTCTTTTCTTTTTTGGTGCTGGGATCGAACCCAGGGCCTCACGCATGCTAGGCAAGCGCTGTACCACCGAGCTACATCCCAGCCCAAATTCTGTAAATTTGATCCAAAATAAAAATACACATCTCATAAACTGCTTATGTCTTATGAATTTAAAAATCATTGCTCTTGTGCTCACTCAAGTTAAATTTTTTTTAATACTTCAGATAATTTTTTATTCTTTGCAAAGTAGTATTAGAAATTAATAGACATCTTCATAATATGTACAGTTTATATAGTTTCTGCAGTCTGCACAGATTTTTAAAGCATTTTTGAGAAAATGGTTGTTTATGTTCTAGTAAGGAAATACTAAGATGAGAGCACTATATAATGTTTGGTAGGTAGCATTTAGATATAGTGGCAGAAACTTGAACCCACTGATTCTTACTTGCTTTGCTTAGGCAGATCTACCTCTAATATGCTTTATGACATAAGGATTTTTTAGAGTACCTCATTCCCTTTTATCCTTCTTGGTAGGGGTTTTGGATATAAATAAAGAAGAACAAAATAACTATGTACTATTATCATTCTAAAACATTTATCTTGAGCCATGCATGGTGGAACTTGCCTGTTACCCTAGCACTGGGGAGGCTGAGGCAGGAGGGTCACAAGTTCAAAGCCAGCCTGGGCTACATAGTGAGACCTTATCTCACGAAATCAAATATTTTTTGATTTTGTATGAAAATAACATACATTCACCTTGGAAAGGAAATACTCTTTACATTTATTTTTAGTTTTGGTTTTGTTTTGGTAGGTAACGGTTTTTGATTTGCACTACTTCATCAACATTCACATTTGGATTTTCCTGTAACTGACAGTACATGTTTGCATGATGAATCTCTTGAATTGGGGCTGTGGAATACAGTGACGCTATCTATCCTGTGTAATCTTGAACTATCTCTATAGTATTTAGGATCAGTTGGCATGACCTCACAGATTGTCTCTTCTAATCTTGTGACTGAGGCCAGTGGCTGAAGTTTTGGGTACTGAATACCTGGTGAGCTCATTGGGGGTGGTTAACTCTGTAAACTCTTTGAATTGAAGTGAAAAGAGCAGCACTGGGATTGACCATGCAGAAGAGATGGAGCTGCTTCTGGAAAACTACTACCGGTTAGCTGAGGATCTTTCCAACGCAGCTCGGGAACTTAGGGTGCTTATTGATGACTCTCAGAGTATTATCTTCATCAATCTGGACAGGTGAGAGAGCACTGTATAAAACAGTAAGTATTTCTTTAGAGATAAGTATTATAAAGCAATCAAGTTTTAAAGGAAGTGTCATTTTGGATCCATCATCATCTTAACTATTACACTGAAGTGCTTGGTTTTTTGTTTGTTTTGAAGGTACAGATTTAATCCAGGTGGGCTTTATTAGATTATTCAGTGAATTTTCTGTATGTGGTTAGCAGACCTCCTGATCTGAGTTGGTGTTCTCCTTCTAGCCACCGTAATGTGATGATGAGGTTAAATCTACAGTTGACCATGGGAACATTCTCTCTCTCACTCTTTGGACTGATGGGAGTTGCTTTTGGAATGAATTTGGAATCTTCCCTTGAAGAGGTAAGATTGTATTATTCAGTAATTTAGGGATTATTTTTTAATGTTTCGAAGATCAATTTTATTTGGCAGCACTGGGGATTGAACTCAGAGCCTTGCACTTGCTTTCTGAGTGCTGTACCATTTGAACCATGCCCCCAAGTCCTTTTGCTTTTCAGTTTGTTTTTCAGATCGGGTCTCATGCTTTTGCCTGGGCTGTCCTTGGGTCATGATCCTATCTCTGCCTCCTGAGTAGCTAGGATTATAGGCATGATTCCCCATGCCTGACCTTTGCCAGTTTTTTAATGGGTTTCTTTATGTGTAACTTCATATTCCCATAGTGAAATAAATATAAACTATAACTTACTTAGAATTTAGGCCGTATTATTGGACCCTATATATGGATGTAAATATAGACTGTTTCTTTGTTCCCTGAAACATGGGGAATCTTGGTAAGACTATATTACGCCAGGCGCCCATGGCGCCCTCTCTGAGGAACCTAGCCTTTTTTGATTGAGATAAACTCTGTGTTCTCTTTCAGGACCATAGAGTGTTCTGGCTGATTACAGGAATTATGTTTATGGGAAGTGGCCTTATCTGGAGGCGGTTGCTTTCCTTCCTTGGACGACAACTAGAAGCTCCTTTGCCTCCTGTGGTATGAAGGGTGTGGTTCACAGCAGTATTGCAGAGGTTTATAATCATGGCCTGTAATGTCAGGCAGCCTGGGCTTAAGCTGTGACAGGTTTTGTGACCCTGCAGAAGTTATTAAATTTCTCTAAACTTCCCTGTTTCCCCATCTGTTAGTTAAGGTTGCATTAACTGCTTTATAGTATTGTTGGGAGAATTAAGTGAGGTAAAATGTTTAGCACATTGCCTGGCACAATAAATAAGCTAGAAATTCATTTTGTTTAGAATCCTCTGACAAGCATTATAGATTTGGACAGATGTTAATAATACTGGTGTAAGGTTTTGTCATAACCAGATTGAAATTAAGAAACATTTATAGAGTTCACATTAAGAAAAGGTATAGAGTTGGAGGAGTGGCTCAAGTGGTAGGGTGCTGGTGTAGCAAGCATGAGGCCTGGAGTTCAAAACTCTGCTACCACCAAAAAAAAGAAGTTATAATATTTACCTCCTTTTTGACATTGGTATTTGAAAAATGACACCACTGGAATGAGTTCTTAAGATAACAGATACAAGGTTTGTACTCCTATGTCATTTTATTAGTGGATTTTCTTTTTAAATGGCACAAACTAAAATTGAATTTCCCATTTTATTTAGGTGGCCTCTTTACCTAAAAAGACCCTTCTGGCAGATAGAAGGATGGATGTAAAAAACAGCCTCAGGCCTGATGGATTTGGATCAAGCAGAACTATCTTAACAAGCCGTTAGCATTAACCCAGAGGATACCAAATTTTTTTTTATACTTCTGATACTGTTATTACTTTCTTTCATAGTCACATATTTGAAAAAAATCATTATGACAGTCATACTCTTACAACTTTATTGCATTTCCAGAATTAAGTGTTTTCTTTGTAAAAGGCCAAATTCTATTTCCTACAAATTTTAAATACTGTTTTTATAGATACGGTGTGAGGTATAAAGGGATTATTTAATTCAAGAGTAGACTGTTGTACAGATTTTAATTTATACATATCAAGAAAAGTGCAGTTCCATGCTGAATGAAGCCTAGAAACTTGAGAAACCCATAGTTACTGAGATCAGGCAGTAACGATTCTTAGTACAGGGAATTCTGTTTGTGGAAATTTTCTGAGCTAGTATAACATAGGTTAACCTTAAAACCAACTCTGGAAGTTTGTGTTCTAAAATCAATCCTTGATATAACCTATTTTCTTATATTTATCACCTTTTGTATGTAAGGTAAATAAAAAGAAAGGATAATTTAATACCAGGATTTATGTGGATTCCAGTTATTCAAGATTTCACTTTTTCAATCCTGAAACTTTTTTCTTTGCTTGTCTCTAAATAGAGCATTGAAAGGAAGTGTATAAGTTCTGTTACTGTTTTATAGCTACTTTGTTCATTGCCTGATTTTTAGAGATTTTTTAGACCACTTCCCCCAAAATGAAAATGTATGAAGCCAGTTAATTTAGGTGCCTGCCCCTCAAGAGTTTGAAACTTAGTTTGAGATGGAGTAAAAAAATCTTTTGACTAGTCATGTCCCACAAATAAAAGGAAAGTTACTTAGTGGGTTATTAAATTCTTAAAGATAGATCAGGTATAATTTCAAAATGTCAGCTCACTCTGCCTTGATGCCTGCAGGATGCTTCTCACATTATTTCACTCATGTGAAATAAAACGCCCCCCCACCAAAAACAAGTAAGAGACTCACAGATTTTAAATTTTGAACTAAAGTAATAAAGCATATTGATTATTTAAAAGAAAGGTGGTAAAATACCAAACACTGAGTTATGTGAATAAGCAGCAGTCACATCCTGCTGCTTACAAACAAGTATAAGGTAGAATACTCTTTAACAGATTCCCTTTCTCTTCAGAAAGCCACTGAGCAAATGTGGGCAGAACAGATGCCATTTTAGGACACTGTTAACCCTTGCTTTATTGATAAACATGGACTGTGAAATAACCACTACACAGTTTCTTATTAAAAAGCTATTTTGGTGAGTTATTCCAAGAGTTGTGCACCTTTATTTTTTGGAATTGCAGTATTAAAGTCACACTTTGAATTCAGGATTTACTTTCATTACTTTAGTAGTAACTATAGAGATAATCTAATGATGATACATGAATAGAGACTCCAGAAGCCTGAGGTTTGCTCCCAAGCTCACCTCAAACCATTTTAACCTCTTAGGTCTATGATAAAAGGCATAAAACAATTCCCATCTTGAAACCTTGAAGACAGTGGTTAGGTATACAGCTAGTAGACAAAAAATGCAAATCTGTAAATGTCTTCTGATACCTTGAAATAAAGGTAATTGAGAAGTTATTTTATAAGTTCAGATTGGTATGAATAAAAAAACCCTACAGAGTATTTCCATTTTAGCTATTCAGCATTTCAGAGTTGCTGCTTAGAACTACAGATAATATTTAGTGGAATGAAAATTTAATCTACTTCTTGGGCTAATACATTAGACTGTCATTTTTTTCTGTATGCCGGGTTTTTACATATTTGCCATATAAGATGACCTTCAACAGTAGAAGTAAAATTTACACCAATTTTGATAGTGGGGTTACTATGGTTAAATGTCCTTCAAACTTGAAAATGTGCCTCCATCCTGATAGGTTTTTAACCTTCACTTGGTGCTTGCTATTTGACATGTTCAAGCCTTGAGAAAAATATAAATCCTGAGGTAAATAATGATGAATTTTAAACATAGTCCCTGTCATTTAACAAAATGGGGATATAGCTCAATGCTAAAGTGCTTGCCTAGAACACACAAGACTCTGGGTTTGATCCCAGCACCATTTGTATTTTCTATCACTGTTAAAAAATACATTGACACTTTCTATAGTAATGGCAATATGAAAGTAGACATACTCTTAATGAAAAGATCCATATCTTTGGAAGGAGATAAATAACCAGAGTGCCTACTGTTTCTATACATCTAGTAGTAATGTAGCTGACTATATTTCCAGATAGTTTGGCTGTTGGTCACATCTCTATTACAAGTCCCACCTCCCATCAGGACCCACCAATGCTTCACTGGCTGTGCCAGCTTGTCCACCAGAACACTCACCCTGGAGATGACGCAGCACAAGAGAGGGAGGGACAGATTAGGAAAACGGAGTGAAGTCTTTAATCTTAGGTGAGGCTATAGACATGAAGTGTCCCAGAGAGCCGAGCTCCTAAAGAACTCCTTCCAGCAGCAATGACAACTTGATTCTGTAGGGTCAGAATACAGACAGAATCCATGACTCATCCATGACACCTACGAAGCTCCTACTGTACACTACACATCTCACTATGCTCTAGAATTATAAAGACAAACACAACATTGGACACCTCTCATGGCTTGAACTTACATCTTCTTTCCCTTCTTTAGATACCATCTTCTCAGATCCATACGTTCTGAAAACTACATTTTAGGAAGTTCATCCCCCTCTCCCTTCTTGCCCAGAAAGAATAAAGGAAAAGTACATAAATGCATGCTTGTTCCAGATCTCTAGCTGTGGCACAATGCAGACAGCACATGAAATAATGAGGACTTCCCCAGAGGCTGGCTTTATTGTGTTTACACATCACTGCTGCTCAGAGCATTTTAAGACCCATCTTTAAGGACTGCTTTTGAAACCTAAGTAGGTCTTTAAACATTTGCAGTGATGGTGAAATCTTCATAGTTCGTGATTAGATTTGATTTTTGGAAATTGCCAAAAGTTATTCTAAACCAAGCCTGGTGAATGAGGCGTGGGTGATCAAATTACCTGGGAGTGTTTTGGTCAGGCTTGGGTGTGACAGTTTCTCTTTGATTTAATTTTGAACATTGCTGATGGAATCAAGAAATAATAACAGTCATAGCTTAAAATGTGTTAAAGCCATTACCATGTGTCAGATTCTATGCTTAGCCCTTTATAATTGTCTCCTAATACCTCAGGGTCAGTTAAAAGGAAAAATTCAAACTTTTCAGAAAAATCAACAAGTAGTAGTTTCTTCTACTCTTTTCTGACATGGAATTAGTAATTTTTAAAATGTGCTTATACTTTGGCTATGATCTAAGTCTTTGCGTTTCCTGGCCAACTCATGTTCATTCTTAAAATCAAATCCTCTCTCTGCCTAGTCAGAGTTTTATCATCTTCCCAGATGCAGCTCAGTGCTGTGGGCTCTACAAAGCCTTCCTTCCCTGGCCCAGCCAGCACAGATGCCCAGTCCAGTTGTCTATCTTTGAGTATGGGTCATCATTTACTGACACCAAGGGTGTTTTATTCTTCTCCCTAAACTAAGCTTGGGCTCCAGGAGCATATCACAGGTACCTATGTCTGTCTCTAGTGCTCAGAATAACACTGCTTGTAACACACACTGTTACCACTCTGCTGAGGCTCACGAACTGCCTGAAGGCAACCTCATGAGAGATTTGGAAATACACAGTAGCGGCATACTTAGATAAGTGCTGAGTCCTAATGCCAGCTTGTTGCTACCAATTAATGCTCATTTATCACAGGAAGTATAACATTCACTCAAACCACAGGGAAAGGCTACTCTAGTGATTGTCAGTGTCCATTGTATAAACAATTTCTGATTTATCTTTACATTCAAAGTACTTTATTGCCCCAGTCTTGGGTTAGGGGCTGAGAAAGTGAAGGAATTTTAGTAGTAACCAGGTGAACTCTAATTAGGAAGGTTAATTTACAGTGTTGTAAGAAAACAGTCAATTATAAACTACTTTTACACGTGATCATCCTTAACTGGCATAAATAATGATTGATAGATACATGTATAGTTTTAATCTAATACATAGATGTTTTAATAATTTTTGGAGAACACAAAATTTTAAATAAAAGCAAGTTTATGAACCAAAGTGTTCTGTTACGAGTCCTCTCACAGGCTTAATAATCCATTTTTTTGTTATAGGTAATCCTGAACTTTGGCTTTCAGGCTTGCCTGTAAATGGGCCTACATGAACTGTTGGCCACTAGAGGGCAGTTTCACCACCATTCTTAAAAGCAGAAGCTTGCTCCACAGCACCTACCAAGCCTTTCAGACTTGGTTATATGTACTGCTTTACTATCTCTGAGAGCTTCTCCAGCCTTTCATCCCACAATAAATACTTACTGGTCAAACTATTCTTCAGCGTTTAATCCTACACTGGTTTGCATTTTATTTAATTTCCTGTGTGTCTAAGTCATATTTTTCAAAAGCAGGGACTGTCTTTATATTTCATAGCCTAGGGACTTATTTTTGTTTATATTTCATAGTCTAGCATACTTCTGAATAATAACCTAAAGTGAATGAATGGAATTAGTGGGTTAAAGGTACAGCTTAAGGTAAAATTATAATCAGTATCTGTTAAAATTGTAAATGTATGCAACCTTTTATCTAGCAATCCTAAGATTTTTACCTACAAAGATACTTTCACACTTATATAAAAATATAATGCTCACTACAGCATTCTCTGTAATACTAAAAAAATGGGAAATAAATATCTATGAGGATATGAAATGACCTGAAATATGTCACATCCAGACAATAAAATACTATGTAGTTATTAAAAAGCATTGTAGCTCTGTGTATTTATCTGGAAAGAAGAAAAGATACAGTACATAAAAATGAAAGGATGTATATGTCTGTCTTTACAGTCTTAAAAATTCTGGAAGCATAGAAGAAAACAGCAAAATATCATCCTGTAAGGCGCAAGAATCAGCAAATATTTTCTGTGAAGGGCCAGATCTTTGTGGGACATTAGTCTGTGAAGCTGCCATTGAAGCATAATAGCAGCCATACACAATCCATGAAAGAAAGAACATGGCTGTATTCGGGGAAAAAATACACACACACACAAAAAAAACTACTTATGGGCTGGGGATGTAGCTCAGTGATAAGAGAACTTGCCTAGTGCAAGGCCTTGGTTACATCACTAGCACTGCAAAAAAAATTTAACTCAAACACAAGTAAAACCTTTATTTCTGGGCACTGAAATTTGAACTTCATGCAAATTTCATGTCACAAAATACTCTTTTTTTTTTAACCACTTAAATCTGTAATGGCCATTTTTAGTTACTATTAAGGATAAAATACATGTTTCCACCCAAAAAAGTAATAAGGTTATGTGTGTGTGTTACCTTCTTTTTGTGTGTATTCCTTTCTTTTTTAAGTGAAAATAAAATTTAAGATAAATTTAAAAACTGAAATCAAATCCCAGTCTTAAATATAGACATCAAAGTACTGGCATTATACTTACTTTTTCCTTTGACCTCACAGAGATCAGAGAGCTCCCAAATCTTGAACTTGCCTGTAAAACATACTCTGTTAATAGACCTTTGAGAGAACATACTATACTATTTTATCAGCTGAAAATAAGGGGAAAGGGCTGGGGTCTAGTTTTGTTTTGGAGGGGCTGGGAGGTTTTTTTGTTGGGGAGGGTTATAATATTTCTTCAGTCTTTTAGGAGGTACTTACTTCAGGAGAAATTAGTACATATTGAGCCTGAAAAAAAATGGGAAGAAAAGGAAACTGTTAATGCCATTACTGTTCATGTGGGGTTTTAACCAATTGTAGAGACACCTTTATGCTCACATTTCACCATTTCCACATTATCTCTACAAATATGCATGTCCTTTGACCCTAGAAATTCCATTTATAAGAAATCAGCTCCTACAAAAATAATCAGATGCACAGAAATGTTTGTATGTGAATAATTGCATTATTTATCACAGTGAAAATTGGCCAGTGACTACTAATCATTTAAATAATGTTTAAATAAACTACAGTTTATAGGTAAAATGTTAGGTAGCTGGCAAATATATAAAAGAATATACATGTTTAAAATAAACTAGCATAAGAATATCATATAACAGAAAAATGTTCATTATATAAGTTGAATATTCCTTATTCAGAATGCTTGGGCCAAAAAGTATTTTGGATTTTAGATTTTTCAGATTTTGGAATATGTTCATGTACACAATCTTGGGGATGGGACCCAAGTCTTAATATGAGACATTTATGTTTCATTTAAGTATTTATTTATACACATAGTCTGAAAGTGTCCTATATAGTATTCTTAATAATTTTGCGCACGAAGCAAAGTTTCATAGTGTGGAATTTTCTGCCAATAGTGTCATGTCAGTACTTAAAAAGTTTGATTTTTGGAGCATTTCAGATTTTCAGATTAGGGATGTTCACCTTGTATATTAAAAGTCAAGTTACAAAATTTTGCACAAAATCATGCCAACGATGATATTTTTTTAATGAAATACACATACATATTGTAATAGTTAAGAAAAAGTTCTAGAATCAGATCTTGCAGTGTGGTGCTGAACAGATTTTCTTTTGATCTTTCTTTTATTTGTAATTGAGCATAATGGCCACTTCATAGCTTTGAAATGGATTAAGTTTTATGTAATGCTCAATATATGCGTGGAAGTGAACAACAGTAGCAATTAAATTTAAAGAAAAATACTAGAAGGATACACTCTAAAGGTTAACAGGCATTAGCTTTGCCAATATGGCACAGCTAAACAAGTCAAATTACTTCTCAGAGGGAAGTATCTGAGCTCACAATCTCAATTCAGTTCTGTAATTCTGAGTTTATAGTTTAAATACACAAATATTTTAGAGTTTTACTAGGATGAATGGTGTATTTTAAATAGTGTAGAAACTAGGAGCTACACAATTATGTAGCAGACTGGAATTCTAGGAAGACGATTTTCAACTTTCTTTGTACTTTTTATTTTCTAAAATTTTTGTAATAACCTTTCAATAATTTTGCATCTTAAAAATAATTTAACCACCAAATATTTGAGGTCAAGAAACATAGCTTAAGGAAATCCCCTAAAAAAGGAATAACAAACCAATAAACAAGAAACAAAAGATTAACTTTTCATGAAAGTCTAATGGCCATAGCCTGTTTTTTACTGTTGTGGGCGTCTAGCCAGGCAGTGGCAAGTTGTGACCAAGGACCAACATGATACCAAGTCCAGTTAGCTCCAGAGGTAAACACTGCACAACTCTTTTAAGAACTGCAGGCAGCTGAGGCCTACAAAACCCAGGCAAGTGACTATGTCCTGACCCCAGGGCTTCTGAGGTAGGTAAAAACTAAGTTTTACAGTGAACATGAGTTAACAAGAAATCAGCATGTAGTGATCCTTTCCCAATATGGTAAGAATTTTATACAACATTTTACCTTTTCCTCTGGACATGGACTTATCCATGATTTGCATTTGCCTGTCATGTCTCCAAGGGTGGTCTGTTTACCATTGTATATATAAACTCGTCCATCTTCTCCCCCAAGTAGTCCAGAGGTTATATCTGTTATCCTCATTGGGGCAGCCATGATGATTTCATCTGTAAATGATAAAAATCCGGAGAAGTAAGTATCTGACCACTCCTATTGTCTTCAGCTTGTTCCACTACTGGATCCTAACTCAACCTCCCACAAATAATTAGTGTGTCCTTCAGGCTGCCCCAATTTCCTCCTGACAAAGTAACTTGAGAGGCTTATGTTTCCTACTTTGTCATTCATCAATAACAAGTGACATGGTGTCTCTCATGCTACTGTCTGCAGGATACCTCAGGCTTGTATATCCAGTTCTGGGCTTATCTGATTCAAATCTATCCAAAGGTCCTTGGGCCACTGGGCTGCAAATTAGGAGGACAAAGCCTGGTTTATCCAATCAGAGTACTAGTCCACTAGGCAAAGAGACTTAGTTCCTGGCTAAAGTTCTTTCTTACCTAAACCATCATTATCCAGGTCACTCAAGTGTAAAACTCCACCAAATCGAGAGAAGCGACGGTCTCCACTGAAGGTGCTAAGCAGAGAGGGCTGTGCACCGACTGTTAGCTCATATAGCCGTGTTGTTCCACCCTGGTGCAGGGTCATGGTCAAAAATGCCATTTTAGACACATCATCTGAAATAAGCCACAGAGCCATGAGAATGAAGATAGGATGTAGACCACAGTGGCATCCTAGTGCCTCCTGTGTACATTTCAAGTGATACAGCCCAGTCAGAACCACACAGAACAGTGGCTGCAGGGCTCATCAGCTCTGGCAATCAGAAGTCAGGTATAAAGTATACACTTATGAAATCATCTCATTGTTCTCCATGAATATGTACATTATCATGTTAATAAACTAATTTAGGGCAGGGAGCTGGGTATAGTTGTGCACACCTATAATCCCAGGACTCAAGAGCCTAAGGCAGGAGGAATATTATGAGTTCAAGGCCAGCCTGGGTTATATAGTAAGATCCTGTCTCAACCAAAAAGAAGAAAAAACTGAGTTTGTAGCTCAATGATAAGAATGCTTACCTAGTATGCTTGAAGCTTCAGTTCGATTCCTAGCATTGCCAATTTTTTTTTCTAGCAATATTGTGGATTGAATTTGGGGCCTTGAGATTGCTAGACAAGCACTCTACCACTTGAGCCTTCAGGCCTGGGGTTTTTTGTGTGTTTTGAGATTGGGTCTTACTAAGTAGCACAGGCTGACCTCAAACTCAGAATCAGCCTGCCTCAGCCTTCCAAATGCTGGGGATGGGATTACAGGTGTGCACAAGCACATCCAGCTAACTTTTAAAAAAATTTCATCTTAAAAAACATTTTGATAATTATCTAAATGATTCAGGAATCTACATCTCAAATTGTCTGAAATACATAGGTGGGGAAGTTAGGGGTATCACTACCAAACATCTAATATGCATCCCCTTCTACTAGAGAAGCATATAATTCAGAATAAGTTCATCAAAATGCTCTTCTTAATTCTCAGAATTTGAAACAGAAGCATTCTGTTTAAAATTTCAGCCCTGCAGGATACCCCGATGACACACGTTCATACAGTTAGGACAGACATCCCAAGGCCATGCTTTAGCATTTCTGTATCCATCATCTAATAAAAGTCACTCACAAGGCCCTTGCGTGTTAAAAGGTCTGGATCCTGAGGCCCTCATGGATTCCTGAATCCAGAACGGTACCGTAGCACAGAATCCCTTCTGTATGCTCTACTGCCTGCCCACAGGCCACTAAGTTTTAGACCTCAGCTTTGTTTTCACTTCCCTGTGAGCAGCCCTGAGAGTTTTCCTTGGGGAATGGGTAGAATTTTTAAAGACATAAGTGTTTAATTATTTCTCAGGTATAACTTGACATTGGTGGCAGCTGAAAACAGCTATTGTCAACACAGGTGCATCTCCCCAGCCAGCCTCCCGGACAAGTCACGGGAAAGAAAAAATCACCTCGCACTGGCATCTCACCTGCAACTCAGAGATACTGTGAACTGTAAGTTATTTCATGTCATGTGCATTCATGAGTACGATGAAATAGTCAAAACGAAATAGCAATCTTGTGAACGTCAAGATCTTTTAATACGACCATTATAAAAGGTATGGAAAATAAAAGCATGAAAAAGAACATTTATAACTGGGCGCTGGTGGTTCACACCTGCAATCCTAGCAACTTGGAAGGTTGAGATCTGGAGACAAGTGGCTCAAGGCCAGCCTTGGCAAAAAGTTTGCAAGACCCCATCTCAACAAATAGCTGGGTGTGGTAGTGCATGCCTGTCACCCCAGCTACAGTGTGAAGCACAAAATAGGGGAATTGTGATCCAGGCCAGCCTGGACAAAAAGGGAAACCCTAGTTCCAAAATAACCAGAGAAAAAAAGGGCTGGAGGTGTAGCTTAAGCAACAGAGCACCTGCCTAGCAAGTGTGAAGTCCTGAGTTCAAACCCAAGTTTTATATATATATTTCTGGAGAGAGAGAGAGAGAGAGGTACCTCTATGCACACATTTTAAACAAAATGATGGTTTTATGCAGTACAAACTTTATTTTTCACAGTCTTGGGCTATTTCTAACATTTGCTATTATGAATGATGCCATGATAAATATTCTTCACCACATTTGTGAATATTTTCCAAGAACAGATTTTTAGAAGTGGCCCGCGCTGCACCGAGGGATGAATATCTTTAAGGATCTTGGCGCTTTGACAAGCCTCTTCCTATAAAAGGTCTCTTTACCATTCACCAGCAGTGTCTGAGAACCACTCACTCCGACTTAGCTTTTTCTTCCCGAAGGCACTTTGCAGTTATTACTCAGCGCCCTAAAATCCTACTAAATGTCTGACATATTCATTGCGAAGTTGAACCAAAAACAGGATAGGGACGCTCCATTCTGAACTGGCTCCCCTCATCCTCAAACCCCAGACTGCCACTAGGGCTACCCTGAATGTAGATCCAAACTTTCAATCTGCATGCTGAGTGCCTCACTGAATTCACTGTGTTTTGAATTTCCAAAGGTAACTCACTGACATCTCACATGGCATGAACTACCGGGGAGGCAGGTCACGGGTTAAAGCCTCCATTCCTCTCAGTGACGTCATGTCTGCAAACCTGAGTGTTCAGGGGATGTGGTGATAAAATGCAGTTATCACGTGAGAAACTGGTGTGACTTAGGAAATGAGAGCAGTGATGTCTGACCTGATTCCAAGGCTTGAGATGTGGTTCAGTACCCTAAAGGAGCTAAGCTGTTAGGACACAGCTACAAGGCGTGTGACCTATGCAGTCACACCGGAAAATGTGTTTAGAACGGCTCTAAGTTTAGTTTAATGTCTTCCCATCAATCTGAAATTCTTAATTTTTTAAACAAAGGGCCCCACATGTTTATTTGGTATTAAGCCCATAATTATTGGGGTACGCTATAATTAAAAATAGGAAAATCTAAATAACACGGGTGGATTGTAGTGATGGCAACCTGGTTGTGAAGTTTTTGTGTTTTCCAAGATGTCATCACTAGGGAAAGTAGACAGAATGTACAAGGCAGGGCTGGGGGTGCACAGTGGTAGAGGGCGTGCTTCACATTCATGAGGCCTGGGTTCAATCCTCAATACCTGGCCCCCCCATATATATACCAAAAAAACCCAAAGAGTGCATTGCTCTCGCTGTATCATTTCCTTCCCCTGGGGCACCTGGGTTTGAATTAGGGCATGGGAATGCTGGGCAGGTACTTTACACCCCGAGTCATTTTTTGCTTTAGTTTTTTTTCAGATAAGGTCTTGCTTTTGCCAAGAACCATGATCCTCCCACCTACGCCTCCCGCATAGCTGGTATTACAGATGTGTACTATAAGCCCAGTTTACTGGTTGAGATTGTAAGCTTGGGAACTTTTTGCCTGGGCTGACTGTGAATTCAGTCCTCCCAATCTTTGTCTCCTAAGTAGCTGGGATTACAGAAATGAGTCACCATACCCAGCCCTCCTCTGTATTATTTCTTACAAATGTATCTGAATTTATAATTACCTCAAAACAAATGGTTTCTCTTCTATAATATGCACAAGTAAATATATATAAATAAAACTTTTTAATTTATATTTTACACTATATTTTATAATGACAAGAAAAATTTACCAAGAAAGTAAGAGCACCAAAACCAAGAAAGTTTAGGGAGCTATAACTATCAGCACTCAGATAAAGTGGTGAGAAAAACAAAATCAATACTGTGTTTTGCAAGAGTTTAAAAATCACTACCTAGACTCTGTAAAGAACAAAAAGAAAGAAAGGAAACCTATTTTATTGCTAAGTCAGCAAGTATTTTGTTATAACGCCAAGTCCTAAATCATGCAGTGAAAGCTTGACCATTCATTCCTTCACCAGATCCACTTCTGCTAATTTTCACAATCTTTCTAAAAGATGGTTTAAAGAAAGATTAGGAATTCCATCTCCAGGAATCTATCTAACATGATAGAAAAGAAGTCAAAGATTTATGTACATGGGTGTTCATACCTCACAACAGTATAAAACTGAAAACAATCTGTGTTCCCAGCAAGAGGACACTATTAGTAAGTGTTGGCTTGTGAATATGGAAAAAATCCAATACAGGTTATCAAAAATCAAGTTTTAGAAAAGAAGATTTTTTTTAAGAAGGGAAGTGGGGAAGAGGGAGAATAATGGAGGGATGAACCAAAACTAGGGTACGATACATGTATATATGGAAATGTCAGGAAACTCTCTGTATGACTATTATATACTAATAAAACTGTTGTTGATTTTTTTTGTGTGTGGTACTGGGGTTTGAACTCAGGGCCTCATGCTTGCTGGGCAGGTGCTCTAGCATTTGAGCCACTCCACCAGACCTTTTTTGTGGGGAATATTTTTGATATAGAGTCTCATGAACTATTTGCCCAGGCTGGCTTCAAAATGCAATCCTACTGAACTCTTCCTCCTTAGTAGCTAGGATTATAGGCATGAGCCACCAGCACCTGACTAATAAAACATCTAAAAAATAAATAAAAATAGAAATATATTTAACATAAGAATATGCTCAAGACATAAATAAGTTAAATTAAGGGTGAAACTTACAGAATTTGAGCTTTGTTTTTTAAATACCTGAATAAGGGGTAATTTTTTTCTTCTATATGCTTCCTTATATTTTCACAAATTTCTGCCATAAGCATGATTCATTTTTATAATCTGGGGGGAGGAGTTCAATCCTCAAAACTGCTAGAAGAAGAAGAGGCAGAAGAGAGAGGAGGAGGAAAAAGGAGAAGGAGGAAGAAGGGAGGGAGGAGACAGAGAGGGAAGGAGGGAGGACAAAGAAGAAGAGAAGGAAGAAGAAAAGGAAAAGACCCCATCTCAACAGAAAAAAAAGCAGGTTGTGGTGGTGTGCATCTGTCATTCCAGCAATGGGAAACTTAAGAGGATTGCAGTCCAGGCAAAAAGCAAAACACCATCTCCAAAATAAGCAGAACAAAAAGGGCTGGAGGTGTGGCTCAAGCAGTACAGCACCTGCCTAGTAAGTGCGAGTGCCTGGTTTCAAACCCAGTACTGCCAAAATGTAAAAAATAACCCCCCCAAAAAAACATACCAAGTTACTTTCATGCACCATTTTCAACAAACTTTTGAAATAGATATTATAATTCCTATTTTGCTGCTGATGATATAAAGTTCAAAGAGGTTAAGTAACTTCTTCAAAGGTACACAGGTAGCTATTAATGAACAAAGGAAATATTTCAGCCCAGCTGTGTCTGGCACTGATCTTAGACCTTAAGAAAACAAAGCTTTGTGGCGCGTGACCTACCGTGAGTCGGGGCCCCAATCAAGAGCACTTGCGTCAGAGTCCCATTCATCATTACATGGCCACTTGACAGAGAAGTGCCAAGTTTCCCCATTGCCTGCGAAATATGGTAAATCAGTATTGTACAGTTGAGAAAACTTTGTAGTGTCCACGAACTTGGGAGGAAAGAGTAACCATACCTTGTCTCCAGAAATGGTAAAGTGGCTTTGGCCATTTGGTGGGAAGTAGCCATACACCCTTCCAAGGCTCTTTTTCTCATTATGGCTGCGGAACAAATAGCCCATCCTGGAAAGAAGTACAGGGGCTCGGCTACAGCACATGGGATTAAGATCTGTCCAGGGTCCAGCTCCAAGGAGAGAAAACACAACACAGTCCCACCATGCCTCCCTCTCATTACGTCTTCATGGTCCTTGTCTGAAAGGGTTGGGACCACTGAAATTAATCCCAACAGTATGGAGGCTCTCCAGGCCCCATGTCCATCATTCTGCCTCCCAACTGACCACAAGCCCAGGGACCTACTGTTAGGGACCCAGTCACTTTCCCACAAACCCCTAAACTGAAGTCTTAACTGCCAAGACTGTATGGAGATATGTATGTACTTCAGAATGTATGGAGATAGGGTCCTTAAAGAGGTGACTTCTAAATTAAAATGAGACCATTAGAGTGGACCCTAATCCAACCTGACTGGTGTCCTTATAAGAAGAGATTAGGACACAGACAAGTACAGAAGGAAGACTATGTGAGGACAGAGGGAGAAGATTGCCATCTACAAGCCAAACAGAGAGGCCACAGGAGAAACCAACACTGCCAACACCCTGATCTCAGATGCCGACCTCCAGAACTGTGAGACAATGTGTTTCTGCTGTTTAATCCAGGCAGTCTATGGAACTTAATTCTGGCAGTCACCTTCTAAGATGGAGAATCTGTGACCTTGTCCCAGAGCCTGAGCTCTACTGTCTAAGGGCAGGAATTTCCTTTTTCCTATAACCCACATTTAATGGGCTCCCACAGCAGTGCTCATTGGTCCCAGGGCCCCAAGGTCAGTGCTCACCTACTGACATTCTTCCAGGTAGGACTCCCAACCAGCAGCAAGGTTCTGTTGTTCACAGTGACACTGTGGAGGGAATATCCAAACCAGGCGAAGTCCTCCTCACCTCTCACCATCCAATCAGCTGCCTCCGTGTTCAGTATTTCTGAAGAAGACCCCAGTCCCTCTTACTTCAAGTAAAACAGGTTGTGTTTGTAAGCTAATGAGAAGCAAGTTCATTCTGCTGAGTCTGCCAGAACTCTTATTGATCCCAGTATCCCAACATCAGAAGCAGATCTTACACTTCATACAACAAATACATTTCTGGAGCTCATTTCCATAGGATAGACAATGCTATTTTTTAAAAAGCCATTTTCTGGACAGTTTAGAACACACTGGAATGCCTTTGGACCTAAGACTTCCTTAGCATTTCTATTTCACACTGAGAAACTATAAAAATAACTGATTGGTGCTGAGTATTGTGGTATAAGCCTGTAATCCCAACTACTCAGGAGACAGAGATAGGAAGATCATGGCTCAACACCAGCTCAGGCAAAAAGTTACACGCTCCATTTCAAGCAGGGTGTGGTAGCCCACATCTGCAGTCCCAGCTACTCAGGAGGTGAAGGTAGGAGATGTCTATTTGAGGCCAGCCTGGTCGAATTAACATGTGACCCTATCTAAAAAATTAAACTGAAAGCAAAAGGACTAAGGGTATGGGCTCAAGTGATAGAGTGAGCCCTCAGTTCAATCCCCAGTACCAAAAAACCAAAAAAGCTATTGACCCCTTTTCAAGATAAAGAAATTAGGTAGCTTTTTGCATGCTCAGTGAATCTGTCCACATCACTCGCTATAACATCTGTAAAAATAAGAAACAGTTAGACAAACTTGGTAAGGTAATATTGGATGAGGAAAAGGCCATAAGCCCAGGAGAAAGAGACAGGAGGAACAATGGTCTTCGCCCCACACACACACACCAGGCTCTACCTTTGTCACTCTGGTTGGGGCTAGAATAAAACGCAGCCACAATTCCCTTCTGCTTCCCTCCACCTGGTGCAAAAGGGGAGCCAATCACCAGGTCAGGCTCACTGTCTCCATTCATGTCTGCAGCCAGGAGTGTCCAGCCTAAGTTGCAGTAGATGTCCTTCAGAAAAACCAGGAGAACATGTCTTTCTCAGCCCCAGGGGCAATTAAAATGCAGCAAGATCTCAATTTCTGCCCCTGAATAAAGGGGCAAACATACCTGGCAGCAGATGGTGATGCTCGGGGAAGAAGACAGCCTCCCTTGTTTGGAGCCATAGTAGACATACACTGCACCCTAGACAAGGACAAACAGCGACAGACCATGAGGCCGGAATGATGACAAGCACTAATAGCAAGACAAGGAGGACTGACGGAAACATACCATCCCCATCCTCTGTGGTCAAGAGCTTAATGAGTGACAGAAATCCAGCATTGAAGGGTTTTTTAAGCATGTCACTTCCATCAGACTATGAGAGCCCCCAAAGCAACAACTGCCATTTTTATCTTTGCCTCCCCAGTATCTTGCTCAGGATTTGCCAGACATCAGTGTTCAGTGTTAACAGAGTGACTTACTCAGCTCCTACTTGCTCCAATGCCCACCTAATTTCATTCTCTTCCCTGAAGCCTTCCCTGCCCAGCCCACTGCATCTATGAACAGAACACCCAGAGTCTGTACCATTCACCAGCCAACGAACACATGCTATGCTTTTTTCTGTGATGAGTCAGATCCTCTTTTAACTTGCCTGTCTCTCTCCCGTTTGTTCCACAGCATTTATTTTCATCATAAGCCAAGAACTAGGTACACAATGACAGGTAAGACCCATATCTGTCCTTCCAAAAGCTGGCAGACAGGTAACTAGATGCAGAAGCACGGAAGGGGCTGGGATAGGTACAGCACGGGTGCTCTGTGAGCACAAAGATACCTGGATTCACCCAGGAGTTACCAAAGAACAAGAGGGGAGGAAGGGTTTTTCAGTTGGAAGAAGCTATGTAAGCAGAGCCTGATATGAGAGAGCCTGAAGCATAGGGCTCACGATGAGACAAATCATTCTGGAAAAGGGGTGTTAGGAAGAGGGGGCATGAGGTCAGCCTGCAAGGGTAGGAGGCAAGGAAAAGCCTTTGGCCTCCAAGGGCATAAAACTGGTCAGGTAGAAGCTCAAGTTGCACTACAGTATGAAGAATGTATGGGAAGAAAGCCCCAGGGGCCAGGGCTCAGGCAATAGGCAGTGCCCAGAGGCCACCTCCTGCTGTAATGACAGGAAGCTACAGGTTAGCTGGACTTCTGTCTTCCATGCTAGTTCTCCGTATTATGAGGCAAGAGGGGAAAAAAAGTAGCTGGTAGATTTGGGAACCCTGAGGCCAAACTAAGGCCCACAAGACAGAAGCAGGTGCTATGAGGCAACCCAAGGCTCACATCAAAGACCCAAGTGGGAGCTTGAATTCATCTGCCCACAACAATTGGCCTGGCAAGCAGGGGGCATCTGCCTTGCTCCAGGGACTCTCCCAGCAGTGCCCTTCCCTCCCCTCATGCCCCATTTTCCCATCACCAGCAGCCTTACTTTGTATGTGAGCTGCTCTGAGCCCACAGAGGGAGCTCCCACAGCCAGGTCAGGAACCCCATCCTTGTTAAAGTCCAACACAGCCAAGGATGAGCCAAACCGACCTGAGGGCTGAAAAGGCACAAATTACTTCCCTGGCTAAGTCACAGCCTTCAGAGGAATACTCCTGACTCCCTGCATAAAGAGCCTGGAACACCCTACCATCACCCAAAAGTTGAAGCACTCTGTAACACCTCTGCCACACATGGACAGGATAGCTCTGCCCTAAGGGTGTTTTGGGCATGGCTGTCTTCTTGAGGAGAAACTGGGATGCCAGAAAGTAGAGGCTCAGTTCTAAGGAATTCTAAGTTTGTAGAAAACAGTCTTGCGTATACTCCACCCCGTGCTAAGCACCAAATTATTCTTCAAAATTAACTAAAATAATAATTATATAACAACCGTAACAAAAGCTGGCATTTGTGGAATGCATGGTATATTTTAAAGCCACACTTTCCAATACAGTAGTTGTTAGCCAAATATAGGGCTATTATAAATGTAAAGTAATTGACATTAAATAACATTTAAAATACAGTCCCTCAGCTGCATTTGCCACATTGCACGTGCTCAAAAGCCCATGGATGGTGGCTCCCATATTACACGGCACAACTACAGAAAGTTCCCATCATGGCAAAACTCTACTGGATAGTGCTGCTGTAGACACTGTTCTAAGTACTTCACAAGGATTAAGGTAGCTACTATTCTTATTATTACCCCCACTTTCACAATTTTTAGGCGGAAAACAGTCTACTCAGAGACAATTTTCTTCCAAGGTGGATTTTACATATTTTTTCTCCTGCTGACTAGAATCAGCCTCAATCTAAAAGCAATTCATTAGGCTCGCCAGTCTTTCACTACTTGGCTTACATCACAACAAATCGCCTCTTACACAGCAGTGCTTGCCACACCGCACATGCCCCAGTGTCCCATCTATTATGTATTGGCTCATCTTCTATGTGTACAATGGCATCTTGAACTCTGCCCCTTGTGACAAGGCAAGAACTTGACAAATGAGAGAAGATTGTTCAGGGTACAATGCATGCTGGGGCAGGATGGGGACCAAGAGTTAGTCCTGTCCCCTACAGACCGGCTTGTCCAGCAGCTATGCTGTGAAGCCCCTGAGGACCAGCCAGTCTTTCCTAGAGAAGCATGAATATTCAAGTAGGCAAATCCTTGAGATACCCATCCTAATCCTACACATTGGATGAGGTCACAGAGAGGTTGGTAGCAGCCCAGGGCTGGGGTACAGGATTCCCATCCCTAGTCCAGGCTCTAATTTGGCCACCTTTCAAATTACCAAAGGCCATTTGCTGTGGAGGAAGACATGGAGCCACCTCCTATGAAGCAGCTGCCTCTTATTCCCTGTCCATATGAGCCCAAGGGACTATATTTAACAGAACAGTCTTACAAGGGGATGGCTTTGTGGAGCAGTAAGAAGCAAAAGAAACGAGTTGACTTATTTTAGAAATCGTTCATGTAGTGTCAGAAGGTTCCAGAAAATGGGATAGCCTCTGGGACTGTGTGACCTCATACACTGGCCAGGCAAATTATTTTCACATCTTAGATGCAGGGCTCTATTCATCAGAGTCTCCTTTCATCATCAGCCACTGTACCTTTTGCTTTTTAAGTGCATGTTCTAGTATTCTCTGTGCTTCTGAAATTCTTCCAAACCATATATATGTATATATATATGTATATATATATATATATATGCATATATAATTCATAATATATTATACTAGTGGTCATATAAGGAAGTTTTGTTAATAAGAAATCATATCCCAATTGATCACTCAGACCAGTTCTATCTACATATATCTAGCATATATGTTTTGAGAAGCATTACATTAAATACTCGAAGTTAATGACAGAATGGGATAAATGATGTACATGTGCTTTTGAAGATGAAAAGCACTTATTCCTATTACTGGTTATTCATCCTGGGGAATTTGTCATAAAATGCAGGCAGTTAGGACTAAGGGTATAGATCAATGGTAGAACACTTTCCTGGTATGTGTCCGGGGTTTTATCCTCAGCACCACAAAAACAAATAAATAAAAGTCTCCAAAATGCAGGCAGTGGCTTATTCACTACTCCAAAAGAAAATATGAGATGGGAGTCTCACCTGGAAGCCCTCCAGGATTCCATGGGCTTCTTTGTCTAGGTCCAGATCAACAGGGGGCAGGCCCAGGTCATTGCCATAAATGATGTACACACGCCCGACCTGGAAGTGGCCAGTGTGGCTGTAGCCTGGTGCACCCACCACGAGGTCATTGTGCCCATCCTGATTGAGGTCTGCTGACACCATTGCCCTTATGGAAGAAGGGGGAACTCATTGCAAGGTCCACCAAGCACTTTGGGTGAAACCTTCTCTTGCCTTTTTCTTTTCTAGAATTCAGCAATTTAGCTTTCTCTCACTGACTTTCTACCCTGCATGACTGCTGATCATTTTGGAAGCTATATTGTTTAAATGGTTCACTGTCTTTTTCTCCATAGGGAAAAACAAAACAAAAAAAAAAATGGACAAATCAAGGCCTCTAGGCACTTCTGGACCAGGCAGGTGAAAAACAGCCTCACACAGCATCGGGTCCTATATGCAAAGCCAGAGCAGCCACAGCACAATCCTGGGCTGGCCCGAGAAAGAGGACAGTCCCACCCAGCAAAGTTCCCAGCCAGTGGGGCAGGCTGCTTTATGATCTGCTCATTCCAATGTTACCTAACCAAAGATGAGCTTGTGTTAAACACACTATCTCTACAGTAGCTACACAGAGCACCTTTTGTTATGTTAAATCTAGTCTCCAACATATTTAATGAATGCTTTTTAGTGAGATTTATGACCTACCAGTTATAGAAATGGAATGTCTGAATGTCACTATTGGGGCTGAAAAAAATCAAAATCCATTTGCATATTCTATCTTACAGCCACATAAAGAACAAATGGGAGATCAGAGGTAAACAGGCAGAGAAGTTTCTGGGAGTTGGGATGCCTGGTGTGAGGAGCAGACACCTCAGCAGAGTCCTTGGTTTCTCTGCACCCCTTAGGTTCAGTGCTGCCTAGGAATGGCCCACAGGGAAGGCCCTGGGACTGTGGCTGTCTCTGTGTGGCTGACAGCCCAACATGAGGCCTCCTTTGGCTCTTTCAGGAAGGAGGCCAAGAAGAGTCATTATTCACTGATGAATGGCAGTAGAGAGACACCATTCATCTTCCTGTGCTACGACTGAATGCATTAGTGGCCCCCAAAGAGGAAGGATGATCAGAAAACTCTTCTGAGAACATGTAATGTCATTCACATTTAATGAATATGGTTTTTAAAAAGTGATTTCACCAAATCCTCCAGCAAAGTCACTTTTATATGTTGGCTCGAATTTGAATGAATTTTAAATTCAGAGGAATACCTAACAACCTTTTTATAAAAGTATCATAGTGGGCTTACTTTTACCATATGAAGTCACAACATTCCCATTATTACAGCTGTTTGCTTGCATTCTTCTAATGTCATTACATCGCAGAAAGCAAATCTGTGACAGTATAGCTCCGGAACATTGGAGCACTATAAACATTCTATAAATTAATACTATATTGTTGTAATTACTCAACAATGTAAATATGTAAGCCACTTGTACAAAAACATGGCTGATGAACTTTAAAGACATCACCTGGTCCTCACCAGAGCTAAACCACTTAATTAACCTTTTTCTGATGATGAATTGAGTAGAAAATAGGGTGCCAACAAATGCTATCTAAAACACTTCATGAATGACTGAATGAAATGAATACTGATGACAGCATTCAGGAGTTAGATAAACATACCACCCAAGCCTTGCATAGGGAACTGACAAGAAGTAAGATGCTGAGGGGCTGGAGACATGCTTCCGTGACTCTCGGGAGCTGCCTGAAAACATTGTCCGGATGTTCCTTTCCAAAGCCTGGTACATAAAGGATATAGAATCCTGAAAGAAAAAAGTCAGGCCAAACAGGTAAAGGCACATAGCACAATCCACAGAGGCTACTGGACTTTTGTGAAGGATATGAATTCTTACAATTGCTAATAAAATAAAACGAGTAAGATCACTTGGCACAGGCAATTAGGAGTGTGACATCACTAAACCCAGAGTACCCTAATGGGTTATAAAGTTATAGCCCAGGAGGGCAAAGCCAGCATGGGACGCATTAGTTGGGACTTACTGGGAAACCAGTAAGTCAGGATGCTCTGTACTAATGTGCAGAACCTAACTGAACAAAATTATTTTTATAGGCTAAAACTTTAGAAAAGATAAGTCCATTTGATCTAGAACCAAAGTTATATTTTGTGTATGTACCTTTTTTCTCAAATGAACTGGAACACAAGGATGTCAAAAGTATCCTCTATGCCACATCCACATTGAGATGCTTCTTAGTTGTTTTCAGTCCCAAAAAACCAAGCAGGCATGAAAGCTCATATACAGAGCTGAAAGCAATATGCTAGAAAATTTGGGGGACAACTAACCCCTCATCTTGGGATGAATTGTCCTTAATGTAATTACTGCAGAGACACAAAGGCTTGCTGGAGTGACCCTGAGCAAGTTGGTGGGGCACTAGATCCATCCAAGTTAAGGTGATACAATCTAAATCTACACAGGGGTGACATGAGACCAAATAAGACCTCCAAGGCCTGCCCCAGAGCAGAGCAGCTGGGCTCAGAGCCAGGAGGCTCCTTTGTGAAGCCTTTCCTGATAGCCTGCAAGATAAAATTACCTTCCCGCCATGTAGCCTCCCACTGCGTCATGGTATTTGTTGTATTCTACCTACATAATGGCTATTTTCATATTTCTCCTTTTAGATTAAAATTTTCCAAAGGTTATATTCTTCTTTCCTTTCATTTTATATCCCCACAATAACATGTTTTCACTTAAAAGATGGGCCCATACATGAATTTCATATGCAGTGGTATCCCTCACCATAGGACTATGCCCAGTGAGCCTGAGCCTTCAATATTGAAAAGCAGAGCTGGTCCAAGAACCACCTTGGACTCCACCAAACTTGACAAAGGCCAATGAGGTCCAGGTTCACTTCTTAAGGCATCTCTGGAACACACCACATTTAGAGGCCAAAGCTGTTCACTGGCCTGGCTCAAGCCCAGGTAATGTTTCATGGAATGAATATCCAGGGGCTCCACAAAACAAGCTATCATGGGAAGCAGCATGTCCCTCCTCCTCCACTAAAAGCAGAAAGTTCTCACCGGGGTCCAAGAATCGACACTGAAGAACACGCCTCTTTCAGTATAGTTTATGTTTTTTCCAATATTTTTACTTATGGGTACAGTCAAATTCCTATGAAAATCATTTTTCTGCACTTTTGAGCTGTTGAAAGAGTAATAAAATGGTTAAGCCAGAGAAAACAACCAACCCTCTGAATTACTGAGTTGAAGAATATAGTCACGTTAATCATTAGATAAAAGATCACAAAATTTGGTGCTGGGGATGTAGCTCAGCGATACATCATTTGCCTAACAGACACAAAGGCCTGGGTTCCATCCCCAGCACTGGAAAACAAACAAAATATAACAACAAACACAAAATTTTAACATCTGAAGATTGAAGAAATAACATTTAGGAAAACCTGCCACTCCACAAAATCTCTTAGTAAACACATTTCCAAGGCATAAAAGCCTATCCTTATAGGAACTGATGTTTCTGGGACTGAGATAGCCCAATAGGAGGACATGTGCTTAACGTGTATAGCCCTGGGTTCAATCCAGCACCAAAAGAACAAAATCAAAAACCCTGATATTTCTGATAGTCTCAAAGTTCTATGATAGGAATAAAAGGTTTCTATATTAATAAAAAATTAAAGATATGTCAATATTTCTCATAAAATGTGAAGAAAAATGTCAATAGCAGGAAGACTGGTATGTAGACGTATTGACTTATCTTTAAAGACATGCTAGAATTATCTAATAAAAATGCATTTTCCAATTCAGATATTTTAACCAATCTATCCTGCAGATGCCCAGAGGAGCCACACAGGCTTCAGAACTGATTGAATGGAAGGTGGAAAACAGACATGAATGCAGGAAGTCCTGGGGCAGATGGTAGCAAGGGTAGGGATTCTGACATCCACAGATGGCAAGCCCTACCTAAAGGTGTTCAATTCAATTTAAAAAAAAATACAACCAAACTTACTTTAAATAAGTTAAATAAGGAGAGCTTGACTGACCCCTTCTGCATATTTTCAATTCTACTAATGAAAGATCATCTCCTTACTCTCTTTCACTGTGGTACTCTCCTTTTAGCATCTAATGTTTGCTTACTCTTAAATATCTCATCACTTCTTCAAGAAGGCTGTCCTAGGCCTGGGCTGGGCCACCATGGTACATTCCCAGAAGACCTGGCATTTTCCCTCCCTAATGGTCAACAATATTTACAACTTGTTCAGTGCCCATCTACCTGCCAGGACATATGCCCCAAGCACAGGAAGTGTTTCTGTCTTGTTTACAATGCTCTTTCTGGGCCCTGAATGAGTTTCTGGCCCTTAATGACACCTGGTATTTTATTATTTGTATTATTAATAATAAGTATACTGATATCTATTAATAATATTACTGAATGAATAATGTTTGGTCCCTACCTCTAGCAGGAGATGCCACTTCTTATGATATAATCTCCACCTTCTGGTCTCTATGTCAGAAATTACCAGACAGGGCTTCTACCTATACTGTCTTATTGATAAATGCTTTTACATAATGAAATTTGAGTACGGTTGACAAATAACAACATTAATTATGACAGCAAGAAGAATACCAACTATCATTTAGTGAGCAACTCACTATGCGCTAATTGCCTTAAGTCCATAATTACACATAATCTACTCCATAATTCTTGGAGTGTAAATGCATTTTTTTTCATCACACAGAAGAGGAAGCTATAGCTGAAAAAAATTCAGCAATTAGTTTAAAAGTCACATGGTTGTAAATGGCAGAGATGAACTATGGACCCACATCTGTCTGTCTACAGACCCCATGCTCTCAAGCTCTAGAGGACAGCCCCTCTGGGTGAGATGTTCTTTTTGTAGGAATGATTTTGTAACCCACCTACCTGAGGCTGTTGTTTTGCTGGCCACCACACCTAATGAACAGAGGGTTCTCAGGAAGGACGCAGTCACTGGAAAATGGTGCAATGAGTTAGTCGTTTTTCTACCTTCTTTTCAAGCATGGGTTTTGCCAAGAATCAGTGGTGCACCTTAAACCACCTTCAAAAGGTTTCAAGTGTTCACTACCTACCATACAGCCCCAAGAGCCTCAGGTCTTTCCAGGCTACAGGGACTGCAGTTAGTGACAAAGTCATACAGGCCTGTCACCTCTGATGCATGCCTTCCTCCCCCTTCTGCACCCTACAGCTAACTTGAAATGTCCCACGATTAGAGACTCATTTATGCTCAAATACATCTGAATTGCTCAATTTCATTCTCTTAAAAATTTCTACAAACTCAACAATTAAATAGGAAACAAAATATCCCCTTTTACAAGTGAAAAGTCCTCAGAGAATGTAAAGAATGACCTCTTTCTATGAGGGGTTTACCCCCAAAGGTGAAGAGAAGTATTAAGGGAGGGGTGTTGACATTCTGAAAGGAAGACTACTTTGAAGGAGATTTGTATGGAGGTCACTGTGGGAGGCTCAAGGATGTTGAAGATAGTACTGAGCAAGGAGTGAGAAAAAGTAGGTATGTGAAGAATTTGGGAAAGGAGGTGGGGAGAAACTGATGGTGAGCTTTCTCCTCAAAAATCTTTCTTAGGGCCAGCTATGCACTGAAAGGTTTACTGAGTTGTCTTTGTTCTACCATTAGCATTCAGAAGACACCCCGACAATGTCAGACATTTTGAGGTAAGTAGAGTTCTAGCTGGGAATGTAGTTACCATTATGTCACTGTTTCTTTAGGAAAATATGAGCTTCAAGTAACATGAATGAGCTTTGGAAGATACCCTATTTTTAGTAAGTTGGAAGGTGATTGTTAATATGAAAATATTTGCATTTTTTTCTGTCACACAACAAGTTTTCCCATAAATTCAGAAAAACATTTCTTTGTATGTGTGTATAAGGAAACAAGCAATTTGGAAAAGTTTATGTCTTGGCAAATTAGGACACAGATCAATAGACAAGATATATATTCCTCTCAATTATTTCTTCCAAATTAAAGAATAAGGTCCAGCAATACATCCCCTTAGCTATGTGTAGAACCAAGCCAAAAACAAACACCAAAACTATTTTGTAACTTGAGGATTGGTACATGTAGATGACATAAAACAAGGAAATGCAGGTCATTCACTCTAACGTGACCAGGTGTTATGAATCCCTCTAATATAAACTTTGCTTCCTCCTAATAATTATAATAATGGTAGCCAGCATTTATTAAGTGCTTGCTTCATGCTAAATTCTGTGATGAGGGCTCTCATTTAATCCTCACACCCCTATCATAACAATAGAAAGATTGCTATCTCCATTTTACAGATGAGGAAACCAAGTTTTAGGGAGGTTTAGCAACTTGTTTCAGGTAACTAATTAGTAAGTGGCAGGTCTCTCAAATTTCAAATCCCAACCTCTCTACACCCTCCTAAAAACCCACAGCCATAGACAGAAGGATTAGGGATTTGACTTGAGGTTTCTTTCATTATTAAAAGTGGTGTTGAGCCTGACACCAGTGGCTCACACCTGTAATCCTAGCTACTCAGGAGGCAGAGATCAGGAGGATCGCAGTTCAAAGCCAGCCCAGGCAAATAGTTTGTGAGACCCTATCTCAAAAAAAAAAAAAAAAATCACAAACAAGTGCCTGTGGAGTGGTTCAAGATGTAGGCCCTGAGTTCAAGCTCCAGTACCACAAAAAAAAAAAAAAGTGTTGTTGATATTAAACCTGTTTATCCCTGCCAAACTGTTACTCACTGAGTCTTACAAGCAAGTTTATTATGTACTAGGCTAATGTCAAACTTAACATCAAAGGGAATTTTGTCTCAAAACAACACAATGTGCAGTTATGATTGAGATTATGTGACTACTAGCAAACGTCTCTAAGGGCTCAGGAACATGATCTAGTGTATAATATCCTGGAGCTCTGCTTCTGTAAGTACTCCAACCTATCAGCACCCACCCTTTTAGGATCCCTAACCAGCAACTGCTTCCCAGGCTCAGCTCCTGCCCAGAGAACCTGCCATCCAGCTCTTGGTGGTGTCCTTTCTTTGTGGCCAATGCTGCCTCTAGTGTTTTCATCCCTTCCTACCTCACGGTGTGTGACCTACTCAGCTCAGCAGTAGGATGATAGGGCATGACCAACACTCTGGTGACAAATGGGTTCTCAAAGCAACCTTAGCTCCCTAGGACCTAAGGGTTGATTCCTCACAAACATCCACTACAGCTGGCAGTGGTGGTCCCTGTCTACTCTGTTCTGTATTTGGTCTGCATATCTGATTAACTCTCATCCTGAGCATGCCGAACAGAAAGGAAAGGATCTAGGGAGGTTGAGCAGCTGTCTCATATGGGCTCCATGCCAGATTTCCACAGCAGACTGTGCTTGACAAATCATTTCTGATTTTATTTTGGAAGCTGGGGCAGGGGTTCTGGTGGCTTTTGTCCTTTTAGTGATAGGTGAAGTACCCTTGGAACCCTCAATCCCTGAAAGGTCAGTCCAGGTGCATCAAAAGATCACCACACCCTGGTGCCAGTTGCAGCACAAACACAGGGCAGAGCCACTGACAGTCTGGAGCCACCCTGGAGCCTGTGCTTACAGAGAGTTGGCACTCGGTTCCCAGCATGGGTTCCCCCAAAATAAACAAATGGAGAACCACCTGGGGAGGCTGATTCTGTCCTGCCTGAGCTATTTCTCACAGAGCACAAATTCTGCAAAGTCTGTTTCCCTATCCCTAAAACTTAGTTACATTAGCCAAGCCCACAGGATGGGAACCGTTAGGTTTTTGAGATGACAGTTTCCATTCTTTTCCTCTTTGAATAGATTAATACAGCACTCTATGAGATTATTTTGTTCTTTGTTGGATCAAATGGAAAGCCAGGGCATTATGCAGGGAAGCAGGAGCAAAGCACAGAGTGACTGGTGTAAAAACAGTAATAATTCACCTGGTCCCATTCTCTAGCATGAAACTTGTTAGACGGTAGATATTGGTTGACCAAAACGCCATGTCATCCAGTCCTCCTAGGAAATATTCTTGGAACTGTTCCACCAAAAATGGGGACTTTGTAGAGTAAGTGGAATACAGCTACAGCAGAAAGAACAATTAATATTATGCTATTCCTTCTGTCTGCATAATCCTTCAAACTAAGATATGCAAGAATGAAGATTTTACCTTGGAAACAGCTAGCATCTCACCGTACCTGCAATGCAAACAATAATTCTGATATTAGTTGGAGTTGCTAGAGAGAAAGGAAGCAAATAATGAAAAGAAAGTTCCATCCACATGTACTTACTGTTGTACAACTATCTTTGAATAAGCAAAATCCACTCTCAAGAACTAAAACACAGAAAGCATGCTAAGAAAGTCACAATGAACTCAGTTACACTTACATTTCCAAGAACTGAAGGTGAGTACAGTCAACAATGACATTTTTGTTGATGACATTTCGACCATAGAGTTTCTCATAAATTCCCAGTAGATCTTTGATGGGCACATACCTAAGTAATGAATTATTATAAAAGATGTTTAGACTCTGAGTTGAAGATAACAATAACAGCAACAACAGAAACAGCACCATATCCCAGTTATTTTATGGTTATCTCGTGCCAGATATCTTGCAAAGGTCTTTCCTTGCACTAGGTATTTAATCCTACCAATGACCCTTGGTGTTCAGTACTATTACATTCCCAAGTTACATAGAGGAAACTGAGGCACAGAAAAGTTAAATACTCTGCTAAATGATACAGAGCAAACAACTGGTACCTTAATCAAATATTTATGAAAATATACTCAAAGATTGGAAACTGACTATAAAGTAGAAAAGACTTGTTTAATTTTGTCAATTCAGAGATCAAGAAGCAATTTAAAGTGTCCTCACTTTTTGAGTTGAATTATTCTCAAGAATTAGTTTTTAAAAAATACAAAATATAGCTCCTTGTGTTGGCATGCCAGTTTCAGAGTATACAGCACAAAAATTAGTGAGAAGAATTCAAGGTCCAGTTTCTGATTCACAGTATTAGTTATTTCAGCTTGAAAAAGATCAGTATTCTAAAATTAGATTAATACTGAATCATCTTTTATCTTAATTTTTGAAGTCCTCAGAATATACAAGGCAAAAATCATGATCAGTAAAATCTGATTTATGTGTATTTACAAGAAAGAAGGGATTGAGAACCCCATTTTTTTAGTTTATAAGAATAGCAGACTGGTCTTCTCAATAAAAATAGGCTAAAAGGCAGGAGAAAATAATAAAAAATATTTGTTTTAATGAATCATGAAGCTAGCAAGAAAATAAAAATTTTCCAAAGACCTAAAACAAATGGAAACTGGAAACTTTGCGAGGTAAGCAATTAGGAAAGCTAGCTTTCACCCTGATGACATTGGTAGCCCCGCTAGCCAGTCCCACAAATGTTTCTTCCAACATTCATGCTACCTGTATAGTCAGAAAACTTCAGGGATTGAATGTAACTTAAAGTGGTCCCAGATAATAGTGTCTCAAAGTACCCTGCAAAAGCCTCAGCAAACTTCCTCTGGAGAAATGCAAGCTTAACTCAAGCCCCAAGTAAGGCAAGCACCGTGGATTACAACCAAAAGATGACCAATCTAACCACAGTCACATCTGACACTAAGAGAACAAGCATTGATAGATAAAGAGGTCAGTACATCACAATAAAAAGTTCAATCACCAGAAAGATAAGACTTTGAAACCTGAATGGATCTAATACTGCATCTTTAAAACACATACATAGCAAATGTGGACAGGAAAAATTGGACAATCTACCATCACAAGGGGTGATTTTTTTAAACAAATTTCTGTCAGCAATCATTAGACCAACCTGACAAAAAAGTAAATAGTGTGAATATCTTAATTATATCTTGAACAGAAGATTTAATAAGTCAGCATCAATAAGCATAACCAACCACTAATATCAAGTAAAAAACTGAAGAAACAGCATTCTTTTCAGACTCTAGGCTATAAATAAAAATTTAATGAATTTCAAAAAAACCCAAAGAAGGGAGAAGAAAAAAATAAACATAAGAGTAGAAAGCAAAAAAATAGAAAATTAACATATGATACACAGGATCAACACAACCAACAGTTTATTCTTTAAAATATAAAAGTCAGAAATATTACACAAGATTATTTCAAAATATGAGAATGCAGGATGAACATATGGATAACAAAGGGAACATAAGTACAAATAAAATAGAAGAAAAAAGATATGTAGCATGAACAACCTTCCTCCAAAATATTTGAACACTGAGAAAACTAGAAAAATCCTACAAAAACACAAAATTCCTTAAGAAGAAACTGAAAAACTATGTAATCCTACGAACATGAAAGATGTTTTAAAGGGCTGGAGACATATTTCAAGTGGTAGAGCACCTGCTTAGCAAGTGCCAAGTCCTGAGTTCAAAAGAACCCAGTTCCACCACAAAAATAAATAAATAAAACTATCTACTATCTATAAAACTGTAAAATTGCCATTTACACTAGCGAATAAAAGTCTCTGGCACTGTGTCTAGTAAGATGTATAGGAGTGTAGTGGAAAAACGTATAAAACTTTAAAGTCATTTAAGACTTAAAATGAAATATAAAATGTATCTATAAGTAAGAAGGCTCAATATTACCAAATCGCTAATATTCCTCCAATTCATGGCTAGATTCAATAAATTTGTGATCAAAATTCCAGCAATGTTTGTCTTGGAACATGTCAACCTGATCCTAAATTTTGTGTGAAAGAGCAAGGGCAAAGAATAGACAACATACTTTTGAAAAAGAGAAAAGATAAATTCAGATGTCTGGCCTTATAGAGATCAGGATGTATTATTATAAAGCTACAGTAATTAAAACAATTAGTATTGCTTAGAGACAGTCAACCAGACCAACGAGACACAACAGAAAGCCCAGAATTCACCTACACATATGTAATCTTCACTGATAACAGAGGCTACTGCAGATCAGTGAGGAAAGAGTAGACTATTGAAAAATGGTTCTGGAACAATCAGTTACCTCTTTAGGAAAAAATAAAACTAGACATATCTCAGATTACACAAAAAGTCCAGGTAAATTAAAGACATAAACTTAAAACTATAAAATATAGAGGAGAATTGTCTCATGTCCTCATGGTCAGAGATTTCTTAAAGACATCAGAGGTGCACACTGCAAAAATAATAACATGATGTATTCATTAAAAATAGCAATTTCTGTTTATCAAGATACACCATATAACAGGTAAAAGACATGCTATAAACTGTAAAAAGGTATTTGTAACAAGTGACTGACTGGCAAGAGATTAAAAGCCAGAATATTTAAAATAATAATAATAATAATAATGAAATAAAAATGACAAACAATCCAACAGAAAAATAGGCTAAAAACTGAAAAAGGTTCTCAAATGTAAATGATTAATAAGAGGGAAATGTTTAGCCTCATTAGTACTCTGATAAATTCAAGTTAAATCCATGAGATGCCATTACACACCAAACAAGTTGAAAAACTTTAACAAGTTGGACAGTTCTAAGTCTTGGAGAATGCAGAAGCAGAATTATCAAGCAAAGCTGATGGGACTATAAATTAGGAAGACCATTTTTAAAAAGTTAAATATGCATAAGTCTGGCAACCCAGGAATTCCACATTTTTCGGAGGCACTGGGGTTTGAACTCAGAGCTTTGCATTTGCAAGGCAGGTTCTCTACCACTTGAACCACGCCCCAATCCAATAGCAATTTCACTTCTGTTAGTGTTTGCATGGGAGAAATTTTCCTCTCGTGCATGAGAGAAATTTCCCTCTTGTGCATGAGAGCATTTAGGAAAAATATATACGTAGTAAAATCAAGTGTAAAGCAAAAGCAGCTAAAACTACTTACACCCCCATCAACCCTAGATGGAGCAATTCATTTTGGTATATTCATAGAATGGAGGACCACACAGTGGTCAAAATGAATGGACTAGATATGATTAAAACTCAAGAACAATTTTAAGCAAAGAAAAATAGCAGAGAATTCATACTGTGCAATTCCATTTATCTAAAGTGAAGAACCATACCATAATTTGCATATAAATACATACATATTAGTAAAACTATTGAGAAAAGCAACAAAATGGTTAAAAGGAAACCTAAGATGGTGGCTACCCCTGGTGGAAGAGAAGGTAAGAAAACTGAGACGAGCAGACAAGAAGCCTCTACAATACTAGAATGCTCTATTTCTTAAGATGGGAAGTAGCTAAAGAGGTGTGCGTTATCTTATTATTTTTATTTATAAATATATTTTATATGCTTGATGTAATTTATAATTTATAATAATACTCTAAGAAGCAACTTAGACTATTCTAATATGGAATTCTGCTTTTTAAAATTTGCAAATGCAGTAAAAATGGAACCATGATATGACACAGCAATCCCCCTACTGAGTTAATACCAGAAGGGTATGAAATCAGAATGCCAAAGAAACATCTGCACTCTCGTGTTTATTGCACCATTATTCACAATAGCTAGGGTATGGAATCAACCTATGTGTCCACCAGCAGCTGAAGGGAGAAAGGAAGTGTGGCATATGAAACAGTAATCAACCATAAAAAGGGGGACCGGGACTGTGGCTAAAGTGGTAGTGCGCCTGCCTAGCAAGTGTGAGGCCCTGAGTTCAAATCCCAGTACTACAATTAAAAGAAAAAAACACAAAAAGGAACAATCTGAACAAACCTGAACTAGAGCATTACTGGTATCTTAGAAGCCACTGTCTCCCTTCTCAAGCACCTTACCATCTCTCCCATCAGGAGTAACCACTATCCTATGTTTCCTATTAACCATTTTGTTACTTTTCTCAATAATTTTATTATATTACATGCATTCACTTGAAAAATATTATATTTTTTTCATTTTGGATAAATGCAATCACACACTATGTATTCTACAAAAAATTTGCATAAAACTGTTCTATGGATGGACCTGAAGAACATTGTTAAGTGAAATAAGCTAGTAACAGGAGGACAAATACTGTATGATCTCACTTATAGGTGACTGTAAAGACAGTGATGTTAGAGACCAACCGAGTAGTGTAGTGGCTACTGGAGGCTGGGCAGAGTAAAAAGGAGAGAGAAGTCAGGGAAGGTTGGTTACTGGGTACCATGTTACAGCTAGAAGAATACTTCTGTCCTCTTGCTCGGTAGGGTGACTATAGTTAATAATGTAATGTATATTTAAAAACAGCTAAATGAGAAGGTTTGAATGTTCCCACAACGAAGGAATGGTAAGTGTTAGAGATTTTGGATATGCTAATTACCCTGACCTGACCATTACACATGTATGCATGTATTAAAACATCACATGAGAGTTGATGGAATGATTCAAGTGGCAGAGCACCTGCCTAGTAAGTGTGAGGTCCTGAGTTCAAACCCCAGTGTTGCCAAAACATCACATGATAGCCCATAAATATGTACAATTAATGTCAATTAAAAACAAAAATTTTAAAACTTACAAATGTAAAAAAGTCCTATTTATATTGTAAATTCTATTTTCTAAGAATAAGAGTCAAAGTCTTAAATGCCATTTAGATATTACATATTTAAAAGTACATTAAAGGGGGAGGAATAAAGGGAGTTAAGAAAGAGTAGTAGAGGGGGTGAATTTAATCAAAATACATCATATGCGCATATAGAAATGACCCAAGCACTGTATGCACATACAAATAATAAAAAAATAAAAATTAAAAAAATAAAGAAATATCACAACAAAACTCCTTTGTACAATTTAAGCTACTTTTTAAAAAGTACATTGCTCTTACCAGTGCCGTGCAAGGTAATTAAAATTAAATTCAAACTGGCTCACCACATCTCCTCCTACAGCATGAGAAAAATAGTTAAATTTGGTGGATTAGTGACAGCAAAGCATGCATCTTTCAACACAAATTCTCATAAGCCAGATTCTTTCCATTATTACATATTTCTGCTTTTTAGGTACAGGCCTGTCTCTCTTGAAGAAAGCAATCTTTTAAAAGTCTTAGCTACTGAAGTATATGAATTAAGAAAGAATTATACATATAACCAAAAATTTTCTTTTTACTTTACAGAAAGGCCATAAAGGTTCTGTTAAATAAATACCATTCACTACCTTATTTATATATTTAAAGGTAATTTACTACAGAAAAAAATATGGAGTTTACAAATTTAAAATGAACATATAGTAATGTCTCCTACATATCTCTTAAAACACTAGCCAATGAATTTTAATCCAATATAAAAGTACTTTTTTCCAAAATTATGATACAAGTCAATGACAAAATGTACGGATTTTTAAACAAATAAAATAGAGACACAGCTATTTAAAAATGCATCTCTGTGTTTTGAATGAGCTATGCCTGTGCTCTAACTGAACTTTGACGTTTAAAATACAAAAATAGCATACATATGTTACTGGCAAAACATAGAAAAACAAGATGCGGTAGTGATTTATTTATAAGTGAACTATTACTACCACAGGAGAAAATTTGGCAAATGTAAATAAACAGTACCAAAATCACCAGCTGAATGAGCCTCAGAATAGGAGCCATGAAAATCAATCTGGGAAAGAAAGAGAAGCATGTGTATATATCACAAACCATAGCCCACACTGTCACCCCAGCCAAGCAAGCAGCAGAGGGCCACCCCAATGACGTGCTGACGGGCTTTGCACAGACTCAATCTTCACTGCAACACTCCTCTGTACTTTGTATCTTGGCAGCTGGGTTGGAAAGCAAAGCTATTGCAGCTAGTGCCTCCCAGGGTGTATACAAAATCCCTGAGTCCAAGTTTAAACTTCTAACAGAATAGCATGATGATCAATTAATGACAGCAGGGTCTTTCAGAAGCTAAGTCACCAGGTAAGATCACAATTTTCAGCTTGGGGATATGGCATTTTCGTATATAAAATTAAAAAGGAAAAAAAATGCAATCATTATTTTTCAATAGAGCCAAATGGCAGGCATTAAGACAGGCAGCTTAAATAAAACTAAAACAGATCATAAATGTATTGATGTCTTCAATGCACGAGTCATTCTGTTCCTGTGGATGAGTTTACCAGGTAGCAAGAGTGGAAGGCATGAGTTGGAAAAGATGAAACTTTAACCAAACACCACTTTGAACAAGTCTTGTTGTCTCCACAAGATATTTGAATCACCTAAGGTTTTCCTTTCCATTTTTGATCTTGGGTGTAACCCTAGCACTCCCATAAAGTCATCAGCAATAGAGACATGTACTCACAGCTCCCATTGTCTTAAGGAATCCTTGTTCAATACCCAGGCTGTGCCAGCTGACATCTGCCACCATGTGAGAAGTAATTCCAAACAAGAACGCTACCAGTTTCTCTGTGTCCTGCCAAACAGGCAAATTGGAGTTAGGCATGTTTGGTTTATTTTATAACAACAATTCTATAAAAAGTTTTAACAAATAAGAATTCACTTCTATTTTTGAGATTTAACAAGAAACTAGAAGCAGGTACATGTACATTATAATTACCAAAAACTACATAGAGTTTTTGAAGTGTTTCATAGTGCCTAGAAAATGATTTCAGGTTAATTATTGGAAAAACATGACCAAGTGACATACCCCCTCCCAGCAATTTTTTTTCACAACGTATTTAAATTTTAATTAGCCATCTACTGTATCCTGACTACTGTGCTTGGCACTGAAGTTGCAGTGATAAATTGTTGTCACAGAATCTAGGGAGGGGAGGGCCAAATGAGTTAAATGCAGGTGAAAAAACAGGAGTGAGGACTAGAGGCCGTGCCTACCTTCTCCCAGGGAAGAGGATAGTTCTCTCTGACATAATGAATGCTTGCATTAAGAAACGGTGTCCAATGAGTCCTCTCAGACACGTCATGGAATTTGCCTGACAAAACAAAAGCAAGACTCTGGAGTTTTAAAAGTTGGAGAATCTCCATCAAATCTTCCACTACCATCCACTGTGCTGTGGGTCATTTCTTCTTTCTCTTCCAACCCCCCCTCCGCCCCCTTGTTTCTTCCATTGATGTTCAAAGGATGCCTCCAAACGAGAAAAGCTAGCAGAAGTTTCAGAACAGGCAAGGAACTGGTATGTGATGGCTGGAGCCCCCCAGTAACAAGGAGAGGCTCATAGCACTTTGTATCATCTGGCTGCAAGAGAAGCTAGGTCTCTATTTCTGTGCCCTAAAACTAAGGAGTCAAGTTTTGGGAGGTTTTAAATTCCTTCTTTGTACAACATACCTAAGTCATTGAAAAATGACTAGATCCAAGACTTTCAAGCATTTGAATTTATAATAATTGTTTTTAAATGGCTCTAGCTTGGGCTGAAGGTGTGACCCAAGATTTACAGCATCTGCTTAGTAAGTGTGAAGCCCTAAGTTCAAATCCCAGCACTGAAAAAAACAAACAAAAAAAAGTAGCACTGGCTCCAATGAGTATTTTCCACAAGTACCATTAGAAAGAGCCAGTGGTGCCTCATGTAGCAGTTCTACTCCCAGGAGGGGCACAGAAGACAAGGACTGACATCTGTTCTAAACATCCAAGTGCCCCAAATCACAAATTCATAAGGTGCCAATGTCACAGAGCAACTGAAAGCAACATCCAGAGCTCAGATCCCTCCATTCAGGCTTTCTAATGCGGCTAAAGTGAACATTGCCTAAATATCATTTAAAATTTTTGACTTGGGGGCGAGGGGGAGAAATGGCCCAAACAATGTATGCACATATGAATAAATGAATTAAAAAAATTAAAATAAATAAATAAACCTTTTGACTTTCTGAAAATGATTTTCAAAGAAGTTGGAACTAAGACTAAAATTGCTGTACAGTGTGCCTACTGCTAAAAGTCTAAATACTTCCTATTTTCCAGAATACAGAAAAATTCCAGAACTGGGAATTAGAACAATCTCCACTTACAATTACCAGAGCTTTCCGATTCCTCTGTAAGTGATACTGACTGGAAGCAAAAGCACGTCCCTCCCGGCCACCTGAATGCTAGTCCTCCTCAAGCCACTGTCCCAAAGGTCTGAGCACATCTCACTTGTGTGTGCGCCTTTCCGTAGCTCACAGAGGGCCCCTCAGGTCTCCTTCTAAATCTGTTTAGACCAGTTGTCCTTGCTACTGTGATTATGGAATTTATTTCTACATTAGGCAAATATGAAATATGAGTATAAAAACAGTTTTTTCCTTTGGCAATTACATATTTAAGAAAGTTAAATACTTTCAAATGGTACAATAATAGTGAATCACCAAAGAAGTAAAAGAAAGCTACTGTTGGCTGGGCCCTGGTGGCTCACGCCTGCAATCCTAGCTACTCAGGAGGCAGAGATCAGGAGGATCCTGGTTCAAAGCCAGCACCAGCAAAGAGTTCATGAGACCCTATCTCAAAATACCCTTCACATGCACACACACACGCACAAAAAGGCTAGTGGAGTGGCTCATGGTGAAGGCCCTGAGTTCAAGCCTCAGTACTGAAAAAAAAAAGAGAAAGCTACTGCTGAATTTGATATATATGAAGACAAAAAAAACCTAAGAGGATCTATATTCAAATTTCTTATAATCATTAAATACTTCTTTTTAATTTATCAGTCATGTACTCATCCTCATGTGAGAGTACATATTGCTTATAAAAATAGGCAAAATACTAGATAGTTTACATTCTTTTTTCACTCTTCTCAGAACTTTTATCGTGCATTTCATCTGTCCCTAAAAATGGCATACACTAAGCAGCATTTCTCAAATTTAATGAATTAAAGATACTTTTTTGTGTAAAATATCAAGGAACTGTTAAAACATCAAGGGACAGAAGAACTCTCAAGAATATCGTTTGGGAAGTGTTAAATTAGAAATAATAGATTTTAAAGAATGAGAACTATGACACACAGGCAAAATAACAGACTCTAATCATTGAAAAATGACTCTAGTTAGGTTAAGAAGGAAACAGAAGCCAAGCCAGATGGTGCATGCCTATAATCCCAGCACTCAGGAGATCAAGGCAGGAAAACTGAGAGTTCCAGGCCAGTCTGGGTTACATAAGGAGTTCAGGGCCACCTGGAACGACATAGCAAGAACCTGTCTGAAAAAAAGGAAACAGGAAACAAAAATTTTAAATATGAGAAATACTAAGCTTAGGTGCCCAGGATCCTAACTACAGGAGGAAGTAGATCCTAGACATTTCATTGACCCTAATGGCATCACTGTATTTTTTTTTAATGGAATAAAGGTAGATAACCCTGAGATACCAGAAATGGTTTCCATGATGACCTCATGACATAATGAACTGAACTGAATGGCTTTCCTTCATGCCTCTAGATCCAGATCTTCTCTTCAACCTCTTATACCCTGCAGAGAGACTCTGAGGTCACCTGCTTTGAGGGTTTCTTTGTCAATTGGCTTGATGAGTTGGGTTGGCCAATGGAGAGACCCAAGAGAGCAAAGAAAAGGTGGTTGGAAAGGTATTTATTCTCCCAGCTCCTTTCCTGTGTGGTGGCAGTGGGCTGGCTATGACCTGTGGCAGAAGGTCCAACTCCTATCGAGTGACCTTCTCCACCAAGCACTCCCTTTGTCCACAGTTCTGATAGGTAATCACATCTTCCCCTGCCCCTGTACTTTCTCTTGTGATTCCTTGAGTTTTGTCCACACCCTTGAAAATAGTACACTTATTAAACTCCTCTCAGACCCAAGTGTGGTGGCCATGCCTTTAATCCCTGCACTTGGGAGGAAGAGAGGTATACCCAGGGCTACACAGTGAGTTCAAGGTCAGCCTGAAGCTTGAGCTACATAGTGAGACCCAATCTCAAAAACAAAACAAACAAAAAGCTCCCTTCAAAGTACTCAGTTTAAACTGCCTCCTTTGCCCTGCTGAGGCCCTAATATCCACTAAAACCCATGATCCCAGTTTATACATATCACTACATGATATTTGCATAACACCTGACAAAATATTCTGTATTAATGTCAACAAGACATATATACATATACATATAGTGGGGCTTTACTATATTACAAACTGGGATTGTGTTTTACTTGATAAAAGTCACATTATAACAGGCAATATAGCAAGACCACAAACTTAAACCTTTTGATCTTTTGAGTAACATTTTTTCTTATGCCACAAAGCAGCAAGGCAACTAAGCACATTTGGAATGGCTTTCACCAAAAAATAAAATTTTCAGAAATTCTACACATAAGCAGGTAAGTCATTAACTAATAGTGGAAAACATGTTGTGCTATTATTATATATTTTAAAAGTCATATTCATTCCTATTAACCAGTAAAAGTGACATCTTTTTGGTCTACAAACCTTCATCTTACCTCCTTTGCAGATGTCAGGGTAAAAAGAATCAGGAAACACAGTCCCTGCCTGATACGCATCCTGGTGTTCTAATAACAGCTGGGGAGAAGGAAAATACAGACATTAGGGTGCCATGGTCATCAGCCTGGGACTTGCAAGCCCAGCAATTTCCAGCTATAGATGCTAGAACTATGGGGGTTATGAATGGAATGAAGGGAAAAGGCAGATAGGCATAAGGAACTAACTAAAAATCCATGCCTAATCCTGGAAAACGCACTACGATATGGAACTTCAGGTTCTTTCCTACTAAACACAGACTGATTAAACAGCAGAAAAAAATCACCTATCTAAACTTTACCTCCTTACATTTTCTCTTTGCATTTCTTCAGTGGAGCAGAATTTACCTAAGACAATTATACTGACCCAGAACTAGTTTGTGATAAGATTTTCAATGACCCACAATGAAATGAGAAACACACACACATTCATATATATTAGTGTACATATACACATGTGCATACACAGATACACACATATCACTTTCTAGTGGCTACCTGTGTGTTACTGTAATATATCCTTTGTGCTTTTAGAGGGTTAGAAAAGTATCCTTACTTTTTTTAAATGAAGTGAAAGCAGACTGTAGGAGTTTTCTTGTGAATGTTCTTCCTTGGTCAATTGACTCACTAATCCCTTCTGACTCCCTATGCATGCCTGGATGCAGACTAGACAAGAGCCAGGTAGCAGCTTCTTGGCAGGCATGTTCTGTAGGTTGTCCTGGGAGTCCTTTCTGGACACTGGTTCTGGAGCCTTCTCTTCCTGTTCTCACTTTGTTTTTTGGTTTTTGTTTGGTTGGTTTTTTGGTGTTGGAGATTGAACTCAGTGCCTCTCACTTGCTAAGCAAGCACTCTACAGCTTAAGCCATGGCCCCAGTCCTTTTGCATTTTTTAGTTTGTTTTTCAGATAGGGTCTGGAACTTTTGCCTTAGCCGTCCTTAGACTGGGATCCTCCTGCAATCCTTCTATCTCTGCCTCCCAAGTAGTTGTGATTACAGGCATAGGTCACCATGTCTGGCCCTCAGTTCTCACATATTCTGTGAGCATTAATTCCCTAATTCTCAGCATTGACCCCTCTCTGCCTAAGCTAGCCTGAGGGGCTCTGGGATCTGCATATGGACTCTGGTGAACAGACACAAGGGTGAAGTCAAATTTCAGCAACACAGCTTTTTTGCTTTTTCCATGCAGACTTAATAATGTGGGTCATACACAGAGGCAACAAAGTACCTTGAGACATAAATCACAAGTAACAGATAATCTCATCTGGTGGTGGTATTGTTTTTGTGGTACTGGGGTTTGAAGTAAGGCCCTCTCACTTGCTAGGCAGGTGCTCTATCGCTTGACCCACTCCGCCAGCTTTGTTTTGTGTTGGGTATTTTCTAGATAGGGTCTCCAGAACTATTTCCCTGGGGCTGGCTTCAGACTGTGTTCTTCCTGATCTCTGCCTCCTGAGTAGCTAGAATTACAGGAGTGAGCCACCTGCGCCTGGCTAACATCTGTTCTTTTTTTTTAATTATTGTTATTTTTGGTTTTCCCAGAGAGGGAAGCACACTGCATCCACCCCACCATGTGTCAGACTCAGAGATGGGCATTCGATAGAAGCTAGTTTAGTTCCATGACTTTCCTGCTGAGCTGTAGATGACGCTGTCTTTCCTTTGGGCTGTTGAGCTTTGAGGCCAAGTCCGGGGCATTCAGTGTCCATGCAGAGAGATGCAGAATACCACCTAGACCACTGGGCCAGCTCTACTCTGGGACTATCAGTCACAGGAAGTGATAAAGTCCCCTTTTTTGTGAACTTCATCGCTTAAAAACAATCATTAACCTCACCAGCCATTGTTCTAAGTGCTTTATATGTATCAACACTTGTTGAATCTACATCTCTCAGTGAGGTTGATATTTAACACGATATAATCCTGAAATAAATTTTGAAAAGATAAATGTGCAATAGAGTCAAGAAAGTACTGGGTGGGAGGGAAAGGAGTACTGATGGAGGATGTATGCTCCAGGTGGAAAAAATAGTTTTAAGCTACAGAAATAAACACAGAATAAAGAGCACAGAAACAGACTCCAGCATACATATAACTCAATGTATGATAGAGATGAATAAGGAATATACCAACTTCACATGGGCAAATCCATGCTCTGCCCAGGTGACCCGGATGGGAAATTAATATTACCACTGGATCCCTATTATGCTTTTTTGTTAAAATACAAGATGAATCTGAAAGTTAAATGTCAAAAATAGAGCCATAAATTAACAGAACAAAATTTAAGTGAATAATTGGATAATTATGGAGTGGGAGTGATTTTTCTAAGAAGAACATATAGGTAGAAGCCACACGGGATGTTGACACACTGAACTATACAAAAAAGTTGGAGTTCTGCATGGCAAATAGATCCAAAAATCTATTTAAAAGAAAAATAAATAACCATGAGAGGGCTGACAGCTCAAGCGGTAGAGCGCCTCCCCAGCAAGCATGAAGCCTTGAGTTCAAACCTCAGTACAGACAAAAAAAGAAAAGAAACCTGGAGAAGCAGATCAAACAAATGTTATTTGCAGGTGCAGGCGACTCACTCTTATAATCCTAGCTACTTAGGAGGCAGAGTTCAAAAGGATCATGGTTCAAAGCCAGATCTAAGCAAAAGTTCTAAGGACCCTGTCTTGAAAATACTCAACACAAAAAGGGCTGATGGCCAAACCCCAGAACTGCCAAAATAAATAACCACTAGAATCATTTAATAAATTAAGGATTAATATCTTGATAAATAAGCCCTTCTTACATATCAAGATAAAGATAGATATAATAACAGAAAAGTGAAACAAAAGCATAGGCAGTTCAGAGAGGGGGGTTTGGAATGATCAATAATCTCTTAAAATATATTTATCATCATTAATAAGTTAATAATTAAAATTCCAAATTAAACCTTTTGCAAAATACCATTCTTATCTACCAAACTGGCAAAGATGAAAACGAGTAAAAATTAAGACCTAAAGGTAAAACTCTTATCAAATTTGAACCTGTTCCTCAAAATAAATCCAATAAAGTACAAGTGGAATTAAGGCTATTTCCCCTTTGTGATCATCTATATTATATAATATTTAATAATTATATATACATGATAATATATATGTATTTTGTCTTGGCTCATATCTTCCTCCCAAAGGCAGCCATAAGAACTAAAATTTCTCTTCCCTAAGGCAGGTCATACAAACTATAACCTCTCCCCAGCCTTGGGACTGGCCATAAAGAAATTCTCTGACCTATCTTGTCAGACAGATGATAAGTCCTCCATTTCCTATGGGGTAGGGATGGAGCCTACCCCATACCTACAAAGAAGGAATGCTGAAGAATCTGAACAGACAGGTCTTGCTGGGTTTCCCACCCAATCTATTAACTTAAGATCATATCCTTTTTGTCAAATCACATTTCAACATAGTTGTCCATGCTTCAAACATGCCTATGAAGTCTCCATAAAATCCCAAAAGACAGGGTATGAAGAGCTTCTGGACATCTGAACACATGGAGGCTTACAGGAAGGCAAACAAGAATTCATCCACATGCTGGGAGGCAAGCACACCCAAGGGTGTCAGAAGCAGCCAATTTTAAAAAAAAGGAGTTCAAGTAAGATCCAGAGTCTCCTAACTCCACAGGAAGGAAGCATTTGTGCTAGGGACCCCTCCAGACCTTTCCCATTGTATTTATCTGGCTGCTTATTTGTATCCTTTAACCTATCCTTAATAGTAAAGTGATCACTGATAAGTACAGTGCTTCCCTGAGTTCTGTGAGCCACTTTTGCTAATTAATCAAAGCTGAGGAGGGGTTCCTGGGAACCCCAATTGATATTCAGTCAACATGAAATTCCACAGACCCAGACTTGTGACTTGTAGAGTGTCAGAACTGAACTGTTCTGTCAGGACTGTCAGAACTGAATTGGATCAGATGGTGTCTGCTGCTGCAGAATCAATTGTTTGCTTGCTGGCCATATAGCCAAGAAAGGGGCAGCCTCATAAGAGAGGAAAATTTTTGAAAATAACCTTTTTGCTCCAGTCAAACACCACGGTTTGGTAGCCCCAAATTTACCCTCTATCTGGTAAGGCCAGTTGAGGAGCCTAGACTTTCATCTCACTTGGTTGTAAAGAGGCACACAATACCCCTGCTGTGGACAGGTCACAGAGGGCCAAGGATAGAGCCAGGACTTTCATCCTTATTGTCCTGCCTCCCACCTCTACTCTCTGGTGTTGGTGGAGTCCATGAAGAGCATGTGGACAGCAATCTAACTCTCAGTAGAGGGGCACCTCTCTCCCTCCTACTGGGGTTGTATAGAAAGAAGCCCAGAAAGGAGTCAAGATTCTCCCACCATTCAGCAATACAATACATCACCTACCTCCTACCCTCTGGCATGAGCCAAGGCCATTGGTGAGGGGCAGCAATTAGGCACTTCTACCCCCTACCCAGCCAGGGAGGTATCAGTGAAGACCAAGAGAGAAATCTTGAGTTCTACCTCATTTAGTAGTAAGGAGATAGTAGCGCCTACCCTTTTCTTACTGAAGGGGAGTCAGAAGCAGCCAACTGAAAAAGAAGGTTTAAATAAGATCCAGAGTCTCATAACCCCACACTCAAATGTCCAGATTTCAATAAAAAAAAATCACTTTTGAGGAAGATCTCAAAAGTGAAAAAAGATAATCAGTTGATCCATCAGGCCAGGTATGGTGGTATAGGCCTGTAAACCCAGCTACATGGGAGGTGGAGGTAGGAGATGCTACTCTTATCTAAAAAATACTTTAAAGCAACCATTATAAAAATGTTTCAGTGATCTAATACAATTACTCTTGAAATAAAATTATAGGAAATCTCAGCAAAGAAATAGAAGTTAAAAAAGTAGAGCCAAATGGAAATTTTAGAACCAAAAAGTACAATAATTGAAATAAAAGTTAACATCACCAGAAATGGGACAATTTGGCATTGCATTCCTTCTGATATGACATAATGAAAAGACTATACAGTACCACTTCCATGTTCTATGAGATTCCTGCCAAAAACATATTATCTCATGAGAAACCATCAGACAAAACCAAATTAAGTTATATCTAGTAACTACAGTTACTAGATTAGATTTTCCAAAAATACCAAGTTCATTAAAGACAAGGTAGGCTTGAGGAACCATTCTGGTTTGGAGTAAGCCAAAGATGACTGACAACTAAATGCAAGACTTGGATTTAGTCTTGATCTTGGATTCAGCCTGGACACATAAAGGACATTGATACATCTGGTGAAATGTGAATGAGGCCTGAGGATTGGGTGACAGTGTTATGTCAGTGTTGACTTCCTGACTGCAATTGTTATATTACAGCTATGTAGGAGAGTCTCATTTTTAGGAAATATGCAATGATATTATGATGGTTAATCTTGATCATCAACTTAATTGGATAGAGAGATACCTGGGAAATTAGTAAAGCACACATGTGGTTGTGTCTGTGAGGACATTTCTAGAGACCACTGGCATATGGAACAACGGAATGGGAAATACCCACCCTGGATGTGGGCAGCACCATCCAGTAGGCCAGGGGGCCCAGAAGGAACAAACTTGGAAGGACAGGATGCCCACCAATTCAGGCTAACTCTCTGCTGCCTGGCCAGCATGAGGTGAGCAGCTTCCTCTGTCACATGCTCCTTACCACCATGATATTCTGCCTCCCCACAGGGCTAACCACAACGGAGTCAGCCAGCCAACCATGGATTAAAATCCTCTGAAACCACAAGTCAAAATAAATCTTTCCTCCTCTAAATTGTTATTATCAGGTATTTGTCACAGTGGCAAAAAAAAAAAAAAAAAACTAACACAGATGTGTTATGAGATAATGAGTACTAAGTCAGCAACTATCTCACAAGTGGCTCAGGGGAAAAAAATCAATACATATAAATTGAGAAAGAGAATGAAAGGCAAATGTGATAAGCTGTCAGCAAACCAGGTAAAGGGTACATGGGAATTATTTACCTTTTTTTCAGCTTTTATATCAGGTTTATACTACATCAAATAGGGAATTGATTAAATAAGCTATGATACATACTGGATGATAGAAGAATATGTAATTATTAAAAATTATTCTGAAAGTTTCTAGGTCAACACGAGAAGGGGATCAGGAACCAATGTAAAGATCAGTTAAGAGTTGAATCAACATGGGTCGTAACACATGGGTACATGAAAGCAATAGGAAGAATCTCTGTGTATAGCTATCCTTAACTCAACTAGCAAAAACACTTTTTCTTATTATGCTTATGTCTTGTCTTCAACAAAATTAGAGATAAGGATATTATTAAAATTTTTGAATTTTAAAATATTTAAGTATTAAACTATTTAATATTTATATTGCATGTATCTATAAAATGTTCAAATGGAGGGGACATGCACCTTTTAACCAGAGCATTAGTCTTACAAAGACATAAAAATGAATCTTAAAATTAGTTTTAACACTACTCGGGAGGCTGAGATAGGGAAAATCACTGAGGCCAACCCAGGCAAATAGTTTGAGAAACCTCATCTATAAAATAACCAGAACAAAATGGACTGGAGGCCTGATGCACGTGGTAGAGAGCCTGCTTTGCAAGTGCAAAGTCCTAAGTTCAAGCCCTAGTCCCAACCAAAACAAAATTAGTTTAAACACCTGCTAGGACCTTTGCTTGGTACCTACTAAAAGTTAACATACAAGGAATAAAAGTGTCTACCTCTTTGTAGTTAACACGCCCATCTTGAAGATGAAGAAACTCCAGAGCTCTGTGGCCTAAAAGAAATGAATACATACAGTTAAATTCAGCTGTACTTACTGGAGATCATCTTTAAAGTAATATAATGTGTGGGGGCAAACTGTCAAGGAAGCAGGAAATGAAAGTTAAGTGTGTACTCACTTGGACTTTTCTTTAGGCATAATTGGATTTGTACCATATTTGTATCATTAGAATATTCAAATTTTCATGGTGATTTAAAGTTTCTGCATAACTGCTCTATGACCTTGAGAAAGTCACTCACCCTCTCTCGACTTCAGTTCCCTCCTATGTAAAATTAAAGCAAAAAATACCCATCTTAAAGGTTATTGAGAGAACCACAAAAATAAACATTGAATAACACGCACAGTGGCTTGTCCTCCAGTGGGAGGAGCTCAAGAAACGTCATTACTGTATTTTGCCTCGGAATTGAGGTAGATAAACCTAAGTAGGAAAGACAATATAAGCCTAATTCATGGGCTGATCAATGGTTCCCAAATGTTTTTTCACCATTGGAACCCTTTGGAAACACAATTTCAGAAAACCACCTTCCCCGCTCCTCCTCCTGCACAAGGACTGAATCTTAGAATCAATAGTAAGACTAACATTCCTGGCCCAGTACTCTGGCTTATTCTTATAATCCCAGCTACTTGGGAGGAAGAGATGGGGGGGATGGCGGTTCAAGCGAGACCCTCCCTAATTCAAGAACAAGTCTGACGTGGTGTGGAACACCTGTAATATCACTGCCCAGGAGGTGTGAGGTAGGAGGAGTGCAGTCCAAAGTCAGACTGCAAAAGACCCTACCTGAAAAACAAAATAAACAAACAAAAAGCAACCAAAGCAAGAAAGGGCTGGAGGCACGGCTAAAGTGGTAGAGCAAGCTAGTTCAAAATGCCATTTCTTTAAAACAGGAAAAACACTAACATTCCTGTGAACAAACGCTCAAAGGTGATTCTTCGTTTCTACTGTGAATAAAAACCATGTTACGTACTCATGTACAGAAATGGGAAAACGGGACACGTTGGAACTATTGTAGGAATGGAGGGAGGAGACTGATGGAGAGGGTGAATTTAACTATGATATATTGTAAGAACTTTCGTAAGTGTCACAACGCACTCCCAGTACAACAGTAATATAATTTAAAAAAATAAAATCCCCCCAAAATAAATAAATTCATACAACAAATAATATAGCCACTCCTATATTGTAAGCACTAATACCATAAGAGGCAAGTCACAGCCCAAACAAATAATCTATATATAGGATTTCAGTAATTTACAACCCAAACCATTGAATGAGGCCAATTTGAATGAACTAATTTACATAAATGTCAACCTTCCATGACAATGAAAAAGTGAGTGAAGAGGCTTATGACATCATCTAAGTTCTTAATACACAAATGATGAAATTATAGTCTTTTATGTGAGAATTCTTAAAATCTGTGCAGGTGCTATTTCAGGTGTTGTCTTCAACTATTTTTAAACATCCATTAGAACTTTTCTGTTTGGTATCTACTGCCAAAAGGCACCTGTCTTGTAAATTTTTAAACTCTAAGGATTAAAAACCTGAGTATTTCCATTTATATTAATCCCCCTTCAGCTTACTTCTATTCTTTTAGCACCTTCAATAACACAGAACTTTGAGCTGGAAGACTAGAATTCATTCAGTTCAACTTCCTGAATACAGTAAATTGCTCAGAGCCACACATCTAGTTTACAGCAGAGCTGTCTTAGAAAAGAAGTCTGAATCTCTTTCCCATTGTTTCCTGACTCTATTTCAGCAGTAAATGCTTAATGGGAAGTATGTTGGACCCACTGTCAGGATATGTAATTCTAGGCCAAGCCACTAACAAGTTAGCTGTAAAACTCTGTAGGATCAGTTTCCTCATCTGTTAAATAAATTAGTTGGACTTAGTAACCTCTAGCGTTCCCTTCCTATTATTACAATTCTGTGATCATAGGTTCCTATCTGCCATAGCTCAATATCCAAGTCTACTTCCACTGATAAATTTTCATATCTCACTTGTAATCTTGATATTCTTTGTAATTTCTAGAGGTGGTAAAACTACAAAATACTGTTATTTTTATTGAAATGAAAGAAAACTAAGAACATCAAGTATATCTGAAATTAATCTGAAAATTGCTGTAGAATGTAATCATCTAACTAATTTATTTAACTATGAATTGGCTCACATTTTCCATAGAATCCATAGAATTCCATAAAAATATCACAAATGTAATTCATTCATGTAAGAACCAAATCCTTTTGCTAAGACGGACCTTAAGTGTTCTCACCACACATGTTAAGAATGTTAACTATGTGAGGTTGTAGATATTTTAATTGGCTTGATGTGAACATTCATCAATATCAAAACATCACATTATACACCTTAAATTTATGCAATTTATATTTGTCAGTTATACCTCAATAAAGCTGAAAAAAATTTTTAAAACTCTTTGTGCTGACACTTACCTATATTTAAATTACTTTGTCTTTGCCCCTGAAGTCAGGGACACTGGCTTTTGTACCCTTGTCTTGCCCAACTCCTGCCATCATTCTGGGCACGCACCCATAACACCAAGGACCATCCAAATTCTCTTGTTTCTTTGACCTCCCTGAAACCAAGCACCTTTAAAGCCACTTGACTCAGGAAACCCATTCCGACATTTACACACAGTCCTTTATATATACTTAGAAATACCTGTCCTTGGAAATGTAAAACAAAAATAAATTGTTCACTCTAACCATATTCTACCTCCCTTTCTCCTCTACCATTCTATCATTTCTGCTTCACTGCAGCCTTGACTTTATTGAGGGTCTCACTCTCTCCCCATCCTGCAGAACACCAAGCCACCTCACAGACAAAGAGGCCTTGGCTCTCCTGCCTACTTGCCCCTCACAGAACCCACCTGCCAATCCCCATCCCTGGACAACTCTAATCTTTGCTTTCTTCTTTCCACTGTGAGACCTCTCAGCACAACAGGGAAAGTTGCATCAAGACATGGGATAGATTTTCAGTTTCTTCCTTCAGTCTCTTGACAGATTTCTGGTCCTTTTAATAGCACAACAAGGTTCCAGTACTTACCTATTTCTACATGTGTTGAAAGGCCACATGACGAACTTCTAGAGCAGAAAAAAGCCAGCACAACCAGGAGGCCAGACCACAACCTGAAAGCACACATGGTCTCATTCTTCCTGGACTCCTCTGGTGACATGGGAACGCTCCAAGCTGCAGCAGTACTGTGACTCCAAAATCCAGGCACAGACCCAGGGTTTTCTCTCTATGCAGGTCACTGACACAGGAAACCAAGCCTAATTTCAAAATAATATTGTTTTCAAATGAAGTCAACTGTTCGATTATCATTTAGCTTCACCAGAACAGCAAACAGACTGCCACCTGGGAGCAGAGCCAAAGCGATTCACTGAAAGCTAAAAGATTCTAGCTAGAATTATTATATTTTCACACTGACCAAGGTTTCCTCTGGATTTTATTCTAATATGAAACTGGTACAGAGATGCAAACAAAGTCATCTTCAAGTATTTTGGGCTTTCTAAACAACAGACTCACCTGTGCATGTTGATAGTCACTCTCTTAGACTGCCTCACCTTACATGGGTGGTGTCTCATACATTCTTTCCACGTACTTATCAGGTTGTCCTGCTTCCTAGCCTCCCAAGGCACAGGTGCATGCTGGGAAAGCTTTTATGGCAATCAGCTGGAACCGGCTCTCTTTCAGTATTTGGCAACAGATACTGACACTTGAGTGGCATTACACAAGTGTAACTACTCCTGGTCTTCCGCCTCTGGCTCTTCCCATTGGGTTTATCCAGGGCCTATTGCAAGGTAGGATTCCTTCAGCCCAGTCAAAGATGCTAATTCCACTTAGGAGGTGGAAGCAGGAAGCAAATTAGGGCCAGGAAATGAGGGTTTGGAACATGCTGGGTTCAAAATGTACCTGGCATTAAGTAGACAATCAGTAACACTTAATCCATAGGGGAAAAAATTAGGTCAAGCTTTTCATTGAAATGATGGTGATCTTAAAGCTCAAATTATGCACAATATACATTAAAAGCAAGACAGGCACTCCTAAAAGAGTGGGAGGAAATGGTATTCATTCTCAAGTTAGCCAAATGGAAGAGATGAATAAATAAAAGGTGGGATGACTTGAGACAGTTGTCTGCCAGTCCTTTGCTCTGTAATCTTAACCAGGCAGGCACTCTACTACTTACACTATGTCTCCAGACCTCTGTACAAAGCCCCATGAGTTGAACACTGTAGCTCTCCTCCGACTTGGGAGGCATTGGGCCCAGCTGCTTCTAGTTTTAGATCAGAGGCCACAAATGGACATGTTCTGTATGGCTAGCAGGATGTTTTAAAAGTTTAAGCCAACTTTTTTTAAATGAAAAAATTCACATGGAAATGTAAATTCTAGCTCACTATAGAAAAAAAAAATCAAAAGAACTGGCTTCCTGAAGTGATAGCCCCATGTGATAGGATAGTAAGGTGGAGGTGAGGAGCCAACTAGCCCCCTTGAAAGAGGGGATCTTCCTGTCCCCACCAGACACAAAATGTACGTGGTTTTCCATGCCCCTTCTGGCCACCAGAGGCTTGAGTTTCCTCCCTCTCAATCTGGACCTCCTTAAGCCTGTAGGCAAGGTGGCATTAAGAAAGCTATCTGGCAAATATTAAGTCTATGGAAATATTTTTCTTTCTACTTCACATCTCCTTTCCTAATATAAGTGGGTCTAAATAGATGGCATGATTCTATCATTTAGAGCTCTTCTGAAATGCAGGCATCAGTTGAAAAGCAAGTATACACTTGTGGAAGGAGTGGGTGGGGGAATCTGAGCTTCATTCGGATATCTATTCTGCTCTCTTCTTATCTGTGTGACTTGTGCACATTATTAAAAATCACTATGCTACTATTTCCTTGTCAATAAAATGGAAGTAATAATAGTATACACCTTATAGGCACATTGTGAAGATTAGATTTTAAAAGTACATATAGTACTTGGAGTAGAGCCTGGTACACACTAAGTGTTCAATACATGTTGACTATTATTCAAAAGAAATTTTCCCCATCCAAAAGATTTGCCACAGATTTCTATCTTCCTTGTTGACTTTTGTTTTGTTTTGTTTTTGCAGTGCTGAAGATCAGTACCTCATGGATACTAGGTTAAAAGCTTTACCACTGAGCTACAGTCCATTTGTTGAAATTTTTTAATCAAGAAAAATATTTCATACACATACCCAACATAACTTGTTTTATAATAATTTTGATATGGGTATAAATTAAAACTGGATGAGACTGTGGAAGTAAAAGTGGACCTCCTTGTGCAAATAAATGAGATATAATTTTAATGTCCATAAATAGTTGGTATTAAAACAGACAACTCCAGCTCAGTTCTACACAAAACTAATATGTTGCTGTCGACGTAAGGAATTATAGCAAATAGGGAAGAGGATGGATAAAAGTGGGAATGGAGGATGGAAGTGCCCAGGTAACAGACAAGCTAGAGCAAAAAGATGGAAAAGGTCCCTGTCACCCTGGGTCTTCTCCTATACGTCCTAGTAAGCATACCCAGTCAGGCTCCAGGGGGCATCAGGGCCCCCTGGAAGGAGGGAATTGTTCATTCTGAATGAGGGTTTGCCGATGGCACACAACTGTGGGGAAGAGGGAGAAGGTCATATTATTAATGTCCCTGGCTGTAGCTGGGCCCTTTGCCTTTGTGGGCCCTTTCCTTTATAAAATAAATTAGTGATATAAGTTACTACATCTGCATTTTGTATAAAGATTAATACAGTAATATTCCACCTAAGTTCATTCTTTTCTTCTGATTAAAAAAAAATTAAATATTTGGTGCGCCCTGAAAAGTAATATGGGCCCTAGGTGTCCTGCCCACTTGCCCCTAACAAGTCAGCTTGGAAGGGAAAAGGGTACATTTGAAATAGAATCTTAAAAAGGTAGACTAAACCTGATGCCGGTGACTCACGCTTGTAATCCTAGCTAATCAGGAAGCATAGATCAGGAGAATGTCAGTTCGAAGCCAGCCCGGGCAAACAGTTTGTGAGACCCTGTCTCAAAAAACCCTATCAGAAAAAATTGGGCTGGTGGAGTGGCTCAAGGTGAAGGCCCTCAGTTCAAGCCCCAAACAAACAAACAAATGCGAAGACTGATACTAGATCATTTGCCGCAGGTCACGCGGATTCTAAATTTGAATCCAAAGGCGCTGTTTATCAGAACACCCTGCTCTCAATTAATGCAGGGACTACCTAGAAAAGCATCCTCACAGCACAATGCTGAGCTGCACAGCGTTCGCCCCCTCAGAAAACCATCGCCCCAAATCCTACGTGCTCTGGAGCTGCAGCAAGAAACGTGATGGTGGGCCTTGGCAGCCGAGGCAGGCACCAGCTCACCTGGGCACCGAGCGCAAATTGCTGGGGCAGGGGATACCCTCTTGGGGGAATAAGAGGGAAAGGGCGATTCTCCTGCAGCAGATGCGAAGCGAAGTAGCTACAGACAAATTAGCCCCCGAGAGGGGGAAAGGTGATGGCCGTCCCAAGTGCGTCTGGCCAAGAGCCTTCCCCATTCGCACCCCAGCCTCCCCGGGAGAAGGTCGTGCACCGAGCAAGCCTTCCCGCGCTCAGGACAAGGTCCAAGGTCTGGCGCCACAGTGCAGCACCGCGAGCGCGGGGAGGGGGCGCTGCTCCGCAACCTTCACCGCTGTCCTCCGCCACCCCGCGCGGCCCCGCCGCCTTCTCATTCCTCCAGCTTCCCCGCAACCCCTGCGCTCCCGTGCGCGCTTGCTTGCTTGCCTGCTTCCTGCCGCTGTCGCCGCCACCGCTGCCCCGGCCATGGCCACCTGCTTTTGGCTGCGGAGCTGCGGGGCCCCACGCCTCCTACTGGCGCCTCCTGGCCGTCGCCTTCGCCCCTGCGCGGACTGCTTAAGGCCCACAGTTGGGCCCACGCCCGGCCGGGCCCAGCTCCGCAGCTATGCCAGGGGCCCGGCCGGCCTCTCCACAGAGCTGCTGCGCACCGACAGCTTCGTGGGTGGCCGCTGGCTCCCGGCCGCTGCCACCTTCCCAGTGCACGATCCCGCCAGCGGCGCTGCGCTGGGCATGGTGGCCGACTGCGGGGTGCCCGAGGCCCGCGCCGCCGTGCAAACCGCCTACGAGGCCTTCTGCAGCTGGAGGGGGGTCTCGGTCAAGGTGAGAGCGCGAGCGCGTCGGGGCAAGCGGTGAGGGCCGCCTCGGAGCTTGCGACGACCGAAAGGGCTTTGCCCCAAAGTGAAACCAGCCATCTCATCTCCTACCCCTTCCCCCCATGCATCTCTCAGTTCCCCGCGGTGCGCAAGGCAGAAAAAAGCAACAAGAAAAGAGACAAACACAAATGTGTTTGGCGCGTCGGCCCCATGCTAGGTGCCATGCCAGGCGCCGGGCCATGTTCTCCTTGCCCTCAAGTCTCATGAAGTGTACTGTCCCATAGGAGAGGCAGAACAAGTAATCCAAGTGGTCAACGTGAGGCAGTGTGTGTGGAGGGGGGGGACTCTTGCCAAGGGAAGTAGGGGAACATATGTTGGCTCTGTGCAGGGGGCATGGAAGTCCAGAACCATTCTCTAGGTTTTTCGCTTTAATGGATAAATACTGCATTTACTAACATGGAGAACAGAGGAAAATTGGGGATGGGGGCTGTTAGATGGGAAGGACAAGAAACTATTTAAGAAATTTTCTTCCTCCTTCATTTATTACATTATACCTGGAGCAATCCTTCAAAGCCCTCGTTCTGAAATATGCACCCAGTGATCAGGTTCTCCTAATCTGCATTCATCCATCAGATACTTACTGAGCACCTGCTCTATGTCATGCCCTGTTGGAGGTTTTTGGGATATAGGAGTCAACAAAAGAAGATTCTGCTCGTATGGAGCAATCTTAGGGTGCAGGGGTGGGGGGAGGAAAGAGCCAAACTATAAACAGTAAACATAATACCTAGGCAAACAAGTATAGAGGTGATGAATAATGTGAGGGACAAAAAACAGAAGTAAAGGAAGAGGATCAGGGGCCAATGGGAAAAAGTAACATGCAGTATAGAGTGTGGTCAGGTAAGTTAGCATCAATTTGCTAGGCTGCCATTACAAAATACCACAGTCTGGGCAGCTTAAGGAACAGAAATGTATTTGCTCACAATTCTGGAGGCTGGAAGTCTGAGATCAAGGGGTTGGCAGGTTGATTTCTTCTCAGGCCTCTCTCCTTGACTTGTAGATGGTCGTTTTCTCTGTGTCTTCCCTCCCTGCAGCTGTGTCCTAATCACCTTCTAAAGGACATCAGTCATTGGATTAGGGTCCACCCCAATGACCCCACCTTAACTTAATCACCTCTTTAAAGGCCTTATCTCCATGTACATAGTCACATTCTGAGATACCAGGAGAGGGTGAGGGGTTAGGACTTCAACATATCAGTTTGGGAGGGAGACACCTTTCAACCCATAGCATCAAGGTAGGTTTCCAAGATGTTGGGATATCTGTTATATACCCAAGGGAAGACGGAAAGCAGGTGGCTGTATGTATGAGCTGAAGTTTGAAAGCAAGCCCTGAGCTCATAGACTCATATGTACTCATGAGTGTACTGCACTCATGTACTCACAGCTGTGGGAACGGTAAGCAGGGAATGGATCAGGTCTGGCCCTCTAGCATTATTTTGGAGGCTCACCACACAGTGGTATTACAGTACAGAGGTGCAAGGATGCAGGGAACTCTTCCAGTACTGTTGGTGGTAGCTTGGTGCTGCAGGGCTAGTATTGGGGCTTCTCTGATATAGGCAGCATCATTTGAGCACATCACCCATCCTAAAGTCTGTGCCCCTTGAACATGAACATGTCAGCTTACACCTTGCAAGGTCCCTGGTCTTCTCAGGGAAACTCACTTCTTGAAAAGAAAGGTTCTTGGATCCTGGAACATCCACTAAGGACAGGGGTGCCATCAATTCCATAAGGGTCCCACCACAAGTGGGAGATGGTAGGGCACAAAGGCAGGGAATGGCAAATGCTGTCTGGAAGGCAACTCTGTGATTCACCCTTCTCTTGCCTCTGGGCTGTCTTTCTCTCCAGGCCTGTTTTTCTCCTCTTTTTCCCACCCTTTCTTAAAGGTCTAGTCATTCATAACTTCTGCTTTTAAAGGAACTTATCAGGTTCCCTTCTCTGAACCTGCAGCACTGGTCCATACACCTTGTCATCTTCTGCATTCTTTTCATTTGTTTTATGACCTTCCTTTCCCAACTTGTGAACTTCTAGAGAACCCAAAAAATGATATTTATTGACCACCTTTTAAGCTAATACATAGTTTTCTATGGCTACTGTAAAAAAAAAAAATTCCAAAAACGTAGTGACTTGAAACAGTACAAATTTTTCTCATATAGTTTTGGAAGTCAAAAGTCCAAACTGGGTTAGCAGGGTGTTCCTTTAGGAATATCTAGGGGACAATCTGCTTCCCTTCCCTTTCCAGCTCCTACAGCTGCCCATATTCATGACCCACAGTCCTTTATCCCTCCAACCTCTGATTCTTTTATCAGGCCACCTTCTCTGACTCTGACCCTCCTGCCTTTCGCTTATAATGACTCTCAGCATTGCCTGGATAATCTCCCTACTTCAAGATCCTTAACTTAATCACATCTGCAAAGACCCTTTCACTATATAAGGTATCACAGTCTCAGGTTCTGGGGACTTGGTTCATAGATATCTTTGAAGGCATTCATGTATCCACCTTAGCTAAGTACTATTCTTGGTGCTTTGCATGGGTTGTATTTAGTGCTCCTAATGGCCCTATGACACGTGAGTCATGTTGTGGATGAGGAGAATGGCTGGGAGACGCTCACAGTTTCCCACCCATCCCTTCACTGCTGGTCCAATAGAAAGCTGGAATAGGATCCCACATGACTGACCATTGTTCTGCCTTTCAGGAACCCTGCCTGATTCTTGCACATCCACACAGCCCCTCACTCAGGCCATGTAGATAGTCCCCATTGATGATGGCAAAACTTAAGTTGTTTTGACTTTATGATAATGTGAAAGTGATATGCATTCAATGGAAATTATACTTCAGAATTAAACTATTCTGAAGTTTGGTGTTTTCTCAGTCTAGCCATATGCGGTCAAATACTCTCTTGATTCTAGACAGCAGCAGTGAGCCACAGCTCCCACAAGGGGAAACAACTAGTACTCTACAGTACACTGTGTTACTAAGCTATCATGTTCAGTAGGCTAGGTGTATTAAATGCATTTTCGCCTTAGGATATTTTCAACTTCCAATGGAATATCAGGATGTAACTTCACTGTAATTTAAGGGCATCTTTATTAGTTTTCTATACCTGCTATCACCAAAGGCCACCAACTGAGAAACTTAAGCAACAACTTATTGTCTTCAGGCTGGAGGCTAGAAGTCTAAAATCAAGCATTGGCAGGCAGAATTGTTCCCTTCTGAGGTCTAAGAGTGAAGGATCTGTTCCAGGCCTCTCTACCTGGCTTATAAATGGCTGTTTCCCCTGTGTCTCTTCACACTGTCTTTGCTGGATGTTTCTCTGTCCAAATGCCTTCTTCTTAGACTGCTGCCAGTCACATTGGCTTAGGACACACCCTAATGACCTCAATATATTTTTATTATCTTTATAAAGACCTTATCTCCAAATAAGGTCATAATCTGAAGTACTGAGTATTACCTGTTTGGGGCAGACATAATTCAACCAATACCTTGCCTGCTGTAAGCTTTGCATACTAAAGATAATTCATGGCTTCTACTGGTCTATACGTCCACCCTAGACATTGTGTTTTCTGCCAGAAAGCAGAACCTACTTTATATTTCATGCTGTTTCATATACTTCTCTCATTCTTTCTCAGACTAAGCATGGCGCTAGATTCACACCAGGCCATTTACTCGGTTATTTTATTTGCTTCTCTGAAGCAGGCCTCTTACATTTCAATATTCATTTCTTATCCAGTTAAAACAACCCACAGTGTGCTGGTCTATGATCACCAGACTCTTAACTGTTACAGAGCAGAGGCAGAGTAGATAAAATCTGAATACTACAGTAATCTATATTTTTAAGTAACGTCAATGCCTCTTCTCTTGGTGTTTGAGATTTGGAGGCCGTAGCCTTAATGATACCCTTGAGAAGTAAGCCTGTCCAAAACAGGGAAGGGAGATAACCCCAAGGAAATAATTAGTGATGCATTCACATGCACAGGCTCTCTCCTTATGAGAAGAAGAAAATAATTAAAATCTTAGACCTCTGGATGAATTAGAACATCAGAATGACAAGCCAAGCTCGCTCATTGCAATGAGTGGTCCTTCAGGCAGGTGAGAGTAAACCAAAGATTCCTCTTGGCTTTGGATACACCTGTTCAGGTGCAGGAGGCTATGTTTCCAGAACCAGGTTCTTGGGCCTAAAAACAGTAGAAATGAGACTGGACCCAGAGGAATACAGACAAGAATTTTATTGGACCACTGCTTGAGCAAGGCAAGAGACATTGCTGTGATCACAAGCAAATCCGAACAGCAGCTCCCCAAAAGGAAGAGCGGCAACTAACGTAGTAAGAGTTCTATCGATGGTTCCCATCCAAGTCCTCTATGAAATAGGGTGAACAGACTGGCAGAGTGTCCTGTCCTGACTGGCCAGTGTGTGAGCCCACCTGTAGGCAGCTCATTGGTCAGCTTTGACTGCTGGTGTAACAGGTTTTCAGGAGGCTGACTTTTATTCATATCTGTGTTGGTGGGATGAGTTTGTATCTGTTGTGTTTTTTACCTCTGGGGCTGACCATGAGCTCTGGAATCCCATTTACATCCTCGTTGGCTTTGCTGTGAAGGCACAAAACAGATCTGATCCCTACAGATCCCTTCCCATCATCTGATCCCTCTATCCCCCTTTTGGGTAGTCCTCAACTGTCTCAGCTGGAGCCATGGGTGCACTTCTTTTCAGTGTGCCTCTGTGTTGTTCAGGGGGCCTATATTCTCTAGTACTCTTCTTTTTTTTCCAAATACTTTTATGAATTAATTTAAAACTTTTTATAGATTTTTAGAAACCATTTTTTCCATAATATTCTTGAGGCTTCTTTTTTTGTTTTGGCGAGATGGGGATTTGAACTCAGGGCTTCATGCTTGCAAAGCAGGTGCTCTACCACTTGAGCCACACCTCCAGTGCCATAATAGTCTTAATAATCCAATTTATCCCTTTATGTGTTTTTCATTCTTTGGGAAAAAAAATTTTTGAGGCTGTCTTCAAACTCACAATCCTCTTGCCTAAGCCTCCTTAGTGCTGGGATTATAGGCATGGTCCACTATTACTTGCTTACAAAAAAAAATTTAAGTGTGGGAGTATATGCATAACATACAACTTACCATTTCCTCCATTTGTAAGTGTAAGTGGCAGTAAGTACATTCACAGTGTGGTGCCTGGGCCTCTTCTTAAGTGTCTAAACCCCTGTCTTATGCCTCACACACACCTCAACCTCCATCCCAGTCTACCAGACAAATCCAGCTAGCCAGAGTTGTTAAGATAGGGAACAATACCAAAGTACCTTATGTGGAATAAAATAAGTCAGTTACAAATGGACAAATACTGTGTAATTCTACTTATTTGAAGTACCTAGGGATGTCAGATGCATAGACAGAGAGTGGAATGTTTGTTAGCAGAGACTGGGGTCATGAGAATGGGGAGTTATTGTTTGTTAGGTAGGGTTTCAGTTTTGCCAGATGAAGATGGTTCAGAGCTGGGTGGTGGTGATGGTTGCACAGCACTGTGACTGTACTTAGTACCACTGAACTGTGCACTTAAAAGTGGGTAATATGGTAAACCTTTTGTCTTGTGTATTTTACCACAACTTAAATGTGTGTGTGTGTATGTGAATGTGTGTGATATGTCATATACGTGTGTGTCTCTTTTTTTTGAAATGGGTTCGCTATGTTGCCAAGGCTGGCCCCAAACTTTTAGGCTCAAGCAATCAATCTTCCTACCTCAGCCTTCAAGTAGCTACCACTACAGGTATGTGCTGCCATCCCCAGCTAAAAAAGTAATTTTTAAAAGTGGAAAATTGGCTGAGGAGCTAGCACAGTGGTAGAGCACTTGCCTAGCATGGGCAAGGTCCTGGGTTTGATCCCCTACATGGCAAAAACAACAAAAAAAATTGCCTTTGGTTGGAGATATGGCACAGTGGTAGAATGCTTGCCTAACATGCACAAGACCCTGGATTTGGTCCCCAGCAGAGCAAAAACTAAAAGAAAAGAAAAAAAGAAAAAGTAGAAAACCTTTTACCTTTGTGTGGTAAAATCAAAGTTATTGTTTACTGCAAGTAATAATAGCTGATTCCACAAAACTTTCCTTTTTATAATTTATGACTCAGTACATATTAGATATAACTTAAAATTAGTTTCTGTTATTACTTATCAAAGAAAGGTTGATGGAGAGGGTGAATGAAGGAGATTAAGATGAGGGTATATGGTTGATGGACTTCATAGACTTATATGAAATATAGAACAAAGAAACATCTTGGAACTGCTTTAAGTGGGGCAGGGAGGGGATTGAGCAGGGAGAGTCAGTGGGAATGGTGTAACCAATGTATAATATAAGCTTATTTGGAATTGTCACTATGAATTTCCCCTGTACAAAAAATATATCCTAATTTTTTTAAAAAAGAAAGGCTAATGTATATCACCCCAACTATGTAATTTAAGAGAACGAGTAGAATGTATATAGAAATATATGAAAAGATTTATTATGAGAGACTGGCTCATGCAATTATGGGAGCTGAAAAGTCTCATGGTCTTCCATCTGCAAATTGTAAGCCTAAGAAGCCAGTCCCAGGCTGAACGCCTGAGAACAAGGAGGGCCCATGACCAAGGACAGGAGAAGAGAACAGATGCTCAAGCAGAGAGCAAATTTGCCCTTTTGTTCTGCTCCAGCCTTTAACATATTCAACAATGTCCACATGTGTTGGTGAAGACAAGTTTTCTTTGTCTAACAATTCCAGTGCTAATCTCTTCTGGACAAACAATGGTAGACACACCCAAAAATGTTTTGCCAGCCATCAGGACATCCCATAGCTTAGTGTAGTTAACTAAATTAACTAAAATTTAATCTAAAATTAACCATTTCTCCAAGAATGAGAGCATGTAGTTAATATGCCAGGGAAGCAAAGATTGTTTAGTAGTCTGTCTTACATTTCACATTTCATTACTTTCCTTCCTCATTTCTCTTTCAGGAGAGGAGTTCATTACTTCGGAAATGGTACGATTTAATGATACAAAATAAGGACGACCTTGCAAAAATAATCACTGCCGAGAGTGTAAGTTCAGGATCCTGGTTCATTACCCTCAGAAGGGGTCCCAGAGTTTTTAGACTAAAGCTTGGGAAAGCCTCTGGCTTCCATTGGTACTCTTCTGTAGCTAAAGAATATGTGATTCTTTGTCTGATGATCAGGTTTCAAATCATTATTCTGTCTAGTAGTCACACTTGCTAAAACAAAATTTGTATGTTAAGTGTTCTTTACTAATATGAAAAAAGTAGATTTTGGGAAATACATGGATACTGCTTTTTCACCTTTGCAGTTTGGTGACTATTTTGATTTTCTACAGTTTTTATATATTTTAAAATAAACCATTAATTCCTCTATAGTTACGAAAAGTGCTTTTGCACCATGATTCAATGTTTTGAGATCTTAGAAAGAGAAAAAATTAGAAGACACAGGGCTGAGTGTCTCCCCCTAGTTTGTGGACATACTGAGAATGCAAATGACTTGTGGCTTAGTGGTGACACAGCCATCATTGTTTGTAATTCTGCTAAGTCTTGCACCCAAGTTTGAAATTTCCCCCAAACCCTGTTAAGTTTTGTATGGGAAATTTTATACTCTTCTTGCAGCCTTGAAGAATTTAGAAACAGAGTCGCGTGTTTATTTAGTAGAAGGAAGTAAGTGTTCTGTTCTGATTTGATCCAGGGAAAGCCACTGAAGGAGGCACAGGCAGAAATTCTTTATTCCGCCCTTTTCCTAGAGTGGTTTTCAGAGGAAGCCCGCCGCATTTATGGAGATATTATCCCTATGTCCCCAAAGGAAAAGCGGGCCCTGGTCTTCAAACAGCCCATTGGTGTGGCCGCCATCATCACACCGGTAAGTGGCAGGACCAGCCAGATCCCAGGGTAGGAGACTGGCTGTGGGGGCAGGAAGCTGTTCTTCCTCGTGAGCAGGTGTACTCATCCTGTTAGCTTTGTCACCTGTCCTTGGTTTCCTGATACCTTTGCTGGCTGCAGAGGTGGTTTCCACATTCCAGGTGGCAGTGAGTAGGAGGGTTTGCTAATGCCTTCACAAATGAGGTGACGCACAGCAGGATTCAAGGGTGTTGCCTACTACCTCGAAAAGACCTTTGGGAATTTATCTTTTTTTGTTTTGAAAACTTGAGATAGGACACATTTTTTATTGTGCCATTGTTTGGAAAAAGTTATGTTCAATTTATGGTTATCAGGAATTAGAGAGCACTTGTAAACCTATCAGCAGGCACAGGCCCAGGTTCTGGAGGTCAGAAGGCTAAGAAACAAGATGCTCCATCTACCTGGATGGGCCTGCAGTGCACTGTAGGGTGAGCGGCTGCTCTACCTGAATCTCCCTTTCCTGGGTTTTATACTAACTTCTCTTCAGGATCTGCCCTCTCGTCTCAGGATAGCAAGGTACAGATAGAGTCCTCCTTATTGCCTAGACCAACTAGGTCTGCCTGGAAGCTTACTGTTTCCTAGTAGTCATTTGACCTTGGTCAAGTTACGTAACTGTGCTGTCTCAGTTTCCTCAAGCCTGCAAGTGAGGATAATAATAATAATACTGAATAACTTCCTCACCTTGAGATACAATAAGGGTTTTAATTGTAGTGTTAAAGTGCTTAGAACAACACCTGATATAGAATAAACACTATAAAAATGTTAGTTAAAATAAAATAAAATTCAGTTATTATAGATATGTACATGTCATTGGTATCAGTGGGAGGGGGGAGGTGGCAGGGAAAGGGTGTAGGAGGGTGACTATGGTACAAATACTATGTACACATGTATGTAACTGTAAAAATGATATCTGTTGAAAGTACTCCAGGAATGGGGGGAAGGAGGGATAAAGAAGAATGGAGGGGATGAATTCAAGTATGATATATTTGATACATCGTAAGAACTTTTGTAAATGCCATAGTGTACGTCCTCTCAGCACAACAATAAAAAAAGATATGTAGATGTCTATAGATATCTTTAAATATGTATATAGAGTGAAGTGACAAACTACCTGCCATTTTCAAAATCTCATCACTAATATTTTCTCCCAAGGGCCTCAAGCCAAATCCAGCCTGCTGCTTGTGCTGTAAATAAAGTTTTATTAGAACTCACATGTCCATTTTTTAGCATATTATCTTTAGTGGCTTCCATGATGTAACTGCAGAGTTGAGTAGTTGTGACAGAAACTGACTATCCCATAAATCCTTAAAAACCTATCTAGCCCTTAACAGAAAACATTGGTCTAAATAGTTTTATACTGTGTCAGATTCTAAAAATGTTTCCTATCTTTACGAGCCTTTATCTCCCAAGTCCCTTAAAGGTCAGGTGTTCTGAGAGCTCACCTGTGCTACCAGAGAACTGGTTTGCCAGTCAGTTGTGCAGTGGACTTTGTTGACTGACCCCCGACCTGCCTTGCTTTGCATAATGAGGCACCCTTCCTCTCACATACTTCCTTTGCTCTTCCAATCCCAGTGGAATTTTCCCAGCGCCATGATCACCCGGAAGGTGGGGGCCGCCCTGGCAGCCGGCTGCACTGTGGTGGTGAAACCTGCTGAAGACACGCCCTTCTCCGCCCTGGCCCTGGCCCAGGTGAGCCTCTCTTTGTGTGTTTGTAGACAGCCAACCACGTCCATGAGTGGATGTTTATCAGGGGCAGAAAGGGGCAGTTTTGGAGCCTCCGTGATTGCCTGCATCTCCTGTGTGCTACCACGTTTTAACCGACTGGTAATTATTGTAAGTCAGATGTTGCTCTTTTTAGAAAAATAACAGGCGATTTTTGGATACCTACAGGCCACATTTTCAGTTACCCTAAAAATGACATCTATCAAGCATCTTCATTAAATAAGCACTAAATTTAATGAAGACATTTCTCACATTTACAAGTTTTATTATTTTTTTGTTGTTTTTAGACAAGGTCTTACTATAGAGCCCACGTTGGATTTGAACTAGAGACTGCCCTGCTTCTGCCTCCTAAGTAGTGGAATTAAAGGCATGAACCACCACACCCAGCTCTATGAGCTCTCTTATTTACCACCCTTGCCTCCATTTCAAGCTGCATTGGTTAGATTTTACTATCCTTCTGTTTAAAATCCTTGAAAGTCTTCTTGTGTTACTCAGAGTAAAGTCTAGATTGCCTATAGAGGCCTTCAAGACCCTATGTCACCTCCCAAACTCCAGAGCCCTTTGACCTTGTCTGTCACTCCAGAACCCCTTATTCATCTTCTGGGGCCACTGTGACCCCTGTCACTCCTCGGACCCCTCCAGCCTCACCCTCAACTCAGGCATTAAACTTGCTTTTCCATCTGAAACCCTCTCCCTAGGACACTCCCATGACTTGTTTTTTCATGTCTTTATGTTTTACACTTACAGAAATCACAGGGATTTTGCATGTACCCCACACTTAGCTGCCCCTGTTACTGGTGCAGAAGTTAAGGACACTCCATCTCAAAAAATGCCAAGTTGGCAATCAGGCATTTCTAGCTGAAATCACTTGAGGAGCTATAACTTTAGAAAGGGCTATTTGGCCTACCTTTTCCTACATGCAACAAGCTGAAAGGATTTGGGGAAGATGTCCTTCAAAAGCCAAGGCTGGAAAATAGTCTTGATTGTCACAGAATGGCAAATGTGGCTGTTTTTCTCTTTTAAATCAGATCTCTTGTTACGAATTATGTTCCTAGATCCATCCAAAGAGCTCACATGAGGACGAAGGGTGGTTAGGAGGCTGGGCATGGCAGTGCCTGTAATTCCAGCTACTCAGGAGCAGGAGATAGGAAGCTCACAGACCAGCCTAGCCAAAAGTTAGTCAGACCCTCTCTAAAAAACAAACTCAAAAAAAAAAACCCACACACTTAAAAAAACACTCAAGTGGTAGCTACTTTCCTAGCAAGTGCAAGGCCCGAAGTTCAATCTCCAGTACAACGAAAAAAAAAAGAAGGAAAAAAAAAAAAAGAAGACCTCTCTCCTCTCTCCCTTTCATTAGCATCTTGCATTAGTATAGTACATTTATTACAATTAATGATCCAGTATTGATACATCATTAACATATTCAGATTTCTTTAGTTTTTCTAAACTTTCTGTCTTTTTGGAGATACTGGGGTTTGAACTCAGGGATTCTTGCTTGCAAGGCAACACTCTATCACTTGAACCATGCCTGTAGCCCAGATTTCCTTAGTTTTTACCTATTGTCTTTTTTCTGTTCCCAGTCCCATCCTGGATACCACATTACATTTGGTTGTCATGTCTCCTTATTTCCCTCTGGGCTGTGACAGCCTCCCTGTATTTTAAAATAGTTACACTGTCTGAATCAACTGTGAGGGTTATAACCGTGACAAGCTTTACTCCCTCCCTTTTACCTCCTCATTTAGACTTATTCCTACAAGCAGCTGAATAATTGTTACTCACAACCAGTGCTAACCTTTGTGCAAGCCAGCTTTGTCACTATAACAAAATATCTGTGCTAATCATCTTATAAATGGGAAAGGTTTGTTTTGCTCACAGTTTTAGAGGTTCCAGTTCATAATTGGTCGGCCCCATGCTTTGAGCCTGTGATAAGGCAGCGCATCATGACAGGAGCACATGGCAGAGCAAAACTGCTCATTTAATGACCAGTAAGCAAAAGAGAAAAAGAAAAAAAAGCCAATGTCCACAATTCCCTTTGGAGGCATACACCCAATGACCTAAAGACCTCCCACTAAGCCAGGCATGGTGGTATATGCCTGCACTTCCACCAATTAGCAGTCTCTGAAACAGGAAGATCATAGGTTCCAGGCCAGTCTGGGCTATATAGTGAGTCCCCGTCTCAAAAAAAACAAACAAACAAGGACTAGAAATGTAACTTTGTGGTAGAGTGCTTCCTTAGCATGTGCAAAACCCTAGGTTTGATCCCTTTATCACTCTCTTCCCTCCCAAAAAAGGCCTCCCACTAGGTCCCATCTCTTAAAGGTCCCACCACTTCCCAATAGTACCACCCTGGAGACCAAGCCTTTAACACACTGGCCCTTGGAGGACATTCAAGATCCAGACTGTAGCCACCTTATTCCGTAGTACAACCCTCAGGAAAGGTCATGGGAACTACACTTCTGGGTCCTTAATGTTGACGACAGTCTGTGCCACTATGCTTGTAAATTGGTTTTGCTGGATGTAAAATCCCTGGGTTGTACTGGGTGTGGTGGCTCACACCTGTAATCCTAGGTATTCAGGGAGCAGAGCTGAAAAGAATCATGGTTCAAAGCCAGCCAGGGCAAATAGTTCCATGAGACTCTATCTCAAAAACAACCCTTCACAAAAAAAGGGCTGGTGGAGTGGCTCAAGCTATAGGCCCTGAGTTCAAACCCCAGTACTGCAATAAATAAATAAATAAACAAATAATAAATAAATAAATAAAATCCTTGGGTCACATTACTTTACTTGGTTATTGCAAACCTGTTTTCCATTTTCCTATGAAAATGCTTTTGTAAAGATCTAAGTTTCTTTCCCTTATAAGTCAACTTGTTCTTTTTGTATAAATACATAAAGGTGTGTGTTTTTTCCTTTATAAAGGCATATATCACTAGAGTATGTTCATGATGACTGCTTTGGGGTCAACAGTCTACATCAGCAGTGTGCTTTTATCAAGATACCAGGACTTGTTGGTTGAGTCTTTTTTGTCACTTGCTCTTATAGCCTTTTCATCTTTTCCCTAATTTATAAAATACTTTCCTTTTCACCTCCCATTTTTCTTGAGGTTTTATGCAAATGTTTATTCTCATGTCCCTTCTAGTTTGGTCTTCACTTCTGAATTTTTTTTTCTTTTGCTTCCATTTATTTTCTGTACTCCCTCACCTGGGGTTTGAACCCAGGGACTCAAGCTTGCTAGGCAGGTGCTCTACCTCTTGAGCCACACTTTTGGCCCTTTCTGCTTTCATTTTTTTCAGGTAGGGCATCATGCTGTTTTTGCCCTGACCTGGCTATTGGCCATCGTCCTCCTATCTCTGCCTCCCTTTTAGCTAGGATTATAGGCTTGAGCCACCATGCCAGCTCATTTCTAAATTTTTCTAACTCTGATTCACATTGTTCATTTATAGCTTGGTATAATTTTCTTATCTTTTACTTTATCTTGAAGTAAGATTATAATTTTAGTCTGTTTTGTAGGCATATCTTTCTGATATACTTTTGTCTCTGGGGATATTACTCTACTCTTTGTTCTCTTTCTTTTTTTTTTAATTTCCTTTATTCATATGTGCATACAATGATTGCCCCTCCCCCTCCATTTTCCCCCACCCCTCCCCTTGCCCCTACCCCCTCCCTTCCAAGCAGGAACAGTTTTGCCCTT